TTTGGGCTTTGTGCTTGCTAGGCAGGTACTTACTGTTTGAGCCACACCTCCAGTCCTCTTTTCACTTTTTTGATGTCAGTTGATGCACAAAGGTTTGTAGTTTTGCAAAGTCAATTTTACCTATTTTTTTCATTTCTTGTCCTTTTTGTTTTGTAGCTAAGAATACATTGCCAAATCCCAGGTCATAAAAAATACACTTCTGTGTTTTCTTCTGAGAAAGAGTTTTATGGTTTTTAGTTCTTACATTCTGTAAATCCTTGATCCAGTTTGAGTTAATTATTTTTTGGTGATACTGGGGTTTGAACACAGGGCCTTCCACTTGCCATATAGGTGCTCTACCCTGCCTCTAGCCCTTTTTGTTTTGTTGTTTTTTGAATAGGCTTTTGCATTTATGCCCAGGCAATCTTGAGTAGCTGAAATGACAGCATGTGCCACTGCACCCAGCTTTTTATTGGTTGAGATGAGGTCTTGCCAACTTTTTGCCCGGGTTGGCCTTGAACTACAATCCTCCCAGTCTCCAGCTACTGAGTTGCTAGAATTACAGGTGTGAGCTATTATGCTTAGCTATTTTGAGTTAATTTTTGTGTATGGTGTGAGGGAGGGGTCCAACTCTTTTGCATGTGGAAATCCAGTTGTATCTTCACTACCTCTGAAGAAACTGCTTTCTCCATTGAATGGCCTTGCAATCTTTATAAAAACTCAAGTGGCTCCAGATGTATGGGTTTTTTTTTTTAATTTATTTTTTTGTTTTGTTTTGAGGCAGGGTCTCCCTGTGTTGCCCAGGCTGGTATCAAACTCCTGAGCTCACATCATCCTTCCTCCTCAATCTTCTAAGTGCTGGGATTATAGGCACACACCACTGTATGCAGCTTATTGATTCATTATTTCATTGGTTTATATATGTGTCCTTGTGCTGATACTACACTTTGGATTGTTGTGGCTTTATAGTAATTTTGAAATTGGGAAGTTTGAGTTCCTCTAACGTTATTCTTTCTCAAGAGTGAGTTTGGCTATTTGGGGCCTCTTGAAATGCGTTATGAATTTGAGCATTAGGTTTTCCATTTAAAAAGGCCATTGATATCTTGATAGGGAGTGCGTTGAATCTATAGCTTGCTTTAGATAATAATATTAACATCTTGACACTATTAGTTCTATCCCTGAATATAGATTTCTTTCCATTTAAGTCTAATTTTGCTTGGTGAAATTTATTCATAGGTATTTTGTTCTGTTAGATGTTATTATAAATGGGATTGTTTTCTTAGTTTTTTTTTCATGTTGTGTGTTCTTAATTTGTACTAATGGTATATCTTCTCTACTTTAGTCATTCTGATGACCTACTTACTACTTGGTCACAGTAGTTCCATAACTTTGTATGTTTTTGAACAGCTATTAAAGATAAGCTTGAATTATAATTTAGCCTGATTTAGTAAAGAATTCAAAAGGTAAACTTGATACTGTCTTGTTACATTAACTTCTAAAAGTTTCTAACCTTAGATCATCTGTAAAATGTGAGATGTGTTAAATATTCTTTCTTTGATATTACACATAAACCATACTAAAATGGCTTTCTTCTTTTTTCTTCCAGATTTCTTTTATTATTTTTTTTTCCTTTTCTTTTTATCTTTTTTTTTTCCTGTTGTTGTTGTACTGGGGATACAGTGTGACATTTATCTAAGTACTTACAATATATCATAGTTGAATTCATTCCCTCCATTATTCTACTTTATTCCCCCTCCTCCCATGCCTGGGATAGTTTCAGTAGGTCTCATTTTTCCATTGTCATACCTGAATACATAATATTTCCACCATATTCACTCTCCTATGTCCTTTTCCTACCTCCTCCCCACTCCTACTGGTGTCAACTCCCAGACAGGACCTATTTTACCTTCCTTTTCTCTGTAAAATGCCTTTCCATTAAGTGGCAGCATTTTAGATAGTGAATATTAATTGAATTGGAATATTTAAGAATAAAAATGTAAGAGACATTGCTACCTGATATTCAGCCTTACCTTTAACAAGTCAATTAATACAAATTGAAATACAGATGAGATGGTTTTGAGATAGGGAAGAATTTACTTCTTATTTAAACATATTCGTATAGCCAGTTATATAAATCTGAATATTAACTTAATCTCCAATAAGCTTTGAGACAGCATTCCCACCTTTGTGAAACATTGAACATTACTAATCAAATCTAACTTTGTCTTTAGAAAGAGAAAGCAATGATAGCATTTATAAAACTGTAATTACTCTCAGAATAAAAAAGGGTACTCATTTAACCAAAAGCCGCTTGAAAACTGGAATTCACTCTCTGTTGCCTTTTTTTTTTTCTTCTTCTGCTTCCCCTCCCCCCCTCTTTCTCTTTTATGCATACTGGGCAAGTACTGTATGGTGGGGTTAAGTCCCCAGGTCTTCAATTGTTTACAGTTGGCCTCAGGACTGTATTTATAGTTGGAGAGATGTATTTTTTAGTAGCTAGCTGAACTATAATTTTCAAGGGGCAGATGAAGTACATTTGGAAAGGTTAAGCATGTTCCTTGTCATAGTCTTTTATTGCGGTGAGAAATTTGGGTATTTTCAGAGTGTAATGGAAAGGAAAAGCATAACATGGTTTGTCTTATGCTTTAAAATGATACCATCTCTGATGTAAGGAAAAGTACACAGGTGGAAATGGGAAGGAACTAGTCCTTTAAGTAGTCCCAGAGACAGATCAGAGCAGGTTTGGACTTTGGTAGTAGCATTGGAAAAAAAAAGGGCAGATTGAGATAAATGTAGTGGTCTAGAATGACAAGGGCTTTTTTTGTTTTGTTTTGGTTTTTTTGGCAGCAGTGGGGTTTGAACTTGGCCTCACACTTGCTAGGCAAGTGTTCTACCACTTGAGCCACTCCTCCAGCCCTTTTTTGTATTGGGTATTCTGAGATGGAGTCTCTCAAACTATTTGTCCAGACTGGCTTTGATCCGTGATCCTCCTGATCTCTACTCCCTGAGTAGCTAGGATTATAGGCATGAAATATGGGTTCCTGGCTTGAAATTACAAGTCTTGATGATATTTGCAAATGAGTTTAGAGCTGGAGAGTTGAGAGCCAAAGATTTATTTATATTAAGAGTCAATATAGTTTCAGTAGTCATAGATGAGATTCAGTATATGTTACAAATGTGATTTCCTGAGGAGAAAAGGCTTAGGCCCAATTTCAGGGGACGTCAGTATAAGGAAAGGAAGAACTTGTGAAGGAGTTGAAGAAAGAAGGTCCACTAACATAGAAGCCAAGTTAAGGATGGCATAGTATCTTGGAAGTCATGAAAAGAGTATTTCCCAGAGATGGTGATATAAGTGTTTTACTATAGGTTTGATGAGAAGGAAAAGTGGAAACAAATTATATAGTAAACCTTAGAGATTAAATTAAGTTATTAAATTATTATAGTTCATCTGCTGTATAGTCTGCCCTGTATAACCACTTTTTTTCTTGGTGGTACTTAAGTTTGAAAACGGGCTTGTGCTTGTTCGATGGGCACTCTGCCACTTGAGATATACCCAAGCCCTTTTTGCTTTAGTCATTTTTCAGGTAGGGTCTTGTTTTTTGCCCTGGCCTTCCTGGACAAGGATAACCAGGATGACATTTGCTTACCACCATGCCCAGCTTCTTTGTTGAGATGTAGCCTTGCTACTTTATGATCTCTGATCTCCACCTCCCAAGTAGCTAGTGTTATAAGGCTTGAGCCACCCTGCCCAACTTCATTCACCCCTGCTTGGATTCATTCTGATTAAATGTCCCTTAATGAGACCTTTCTGACAACCCAAGATGCCATTGTCTGAGCTTCATCATTATTACCAACTAAGAAAGAATTTCAATCACTGCAAAATAGATGGGCACAATGATAGAATATTTGTGATTTGTGAAATAAATACTGATTTTAGATTTGTTAAAATGTGAAGTACTGCAAATAATTGATGAAATACTGTAACAAAGCACCATACTTTTGGCTCTCATATAGAAATCAGAGATTTATTGTCTAATGCTAGTTTCATGGTGCTTGTAACATGAACTGTAGGCACAGTGAACAAATTCTAAATTTTGTGGACTTTTTGTTTTTGTGAATTTTCCTAAGAAACACTGACTAGATTTCTGTTTTAATATTCCTAAAATGCAGTGTTTCCTAGAAAAGACTAGGTACATTGTGTTTCTTTATTTCACGTTGAGAGCACTGGGCAGAAAGCACAGTGTTAACACCTTTTGTGAGTATTGAGAGTTTATTAGTAAATTTGAACACTCTAAAATATCTTTAAATGTAATTCTGTAATTCAGAGGTAGTTAGAAATTCTATATATAACTACAAAAAATACAGTTGAAACCATGCTACTCTATAGACTGAGTCTTTTGCTTAAAATTCTCCATTTTTCCATTTCCTTGTGTAGTCTTCAAAAAGATGTTTGATAGCTTTACACTTCATACATTATGGATAGAACATAATCTTGTGTGTGTAGCTGTGTTCTGGACTTTGGAGTTTATGGAAATAGCTTGGCTTATTCCCTAGAGAGTTCATATTTTATTTTTGCCTTTTTGATTACTTGAGTGAAAAATACTGGTTTGAAGAGAGAATAGTACGTGGACCAGGGACTCTCCAGTACCTTAATGGACCTGAAGTACTTGCTAGGGGAATAGGAATACCTCTATTCCCCTAGAAAAGCTGGTTTCTATTTACTTATCTAAAGAGTGTGCTAGGTATAACATGATTTTTTTTTTTTAAATGTCTATCTAGGGATGATAGGAATTCCTAATTTCTGATGTCTGCTTGTGTTGTTATTCTTGAGTTTATTTTTTGTTTTATGGATAGGAATGATAAAATCTGGAATCATGGCTTAAAATAGACATGCCTTTTAAGGCAATTTTTACTTTTTATGAGAATAAAACTAATATTAGTCTTGTTATGGCAAATGTCCTTTTGAAAAAGTTGTACAATGTTTCAAAATATGAAAAGTAAAACCAATCAATTTTTTTTAGAAGTCAATGAAAGGATTCTATTTTGCGAAGCTGTACTATGAAGCTAAAGAATACGATCTTGCTAAAAAGTAAGTGTCAAACTGTAAAATGTTTTAATTTTCAAAAATCAGTACCTCATGTTCTTTGAAATAGGAAGAACTACAAAGAAGACAATTTTTTTACTAAGTATATTCTGGAATAAGGGATTCATTACTCTCAGACTGATGTTAAGTTGAACCTAGAATGAGTATTTCTTGCAGGCTGCTGTTTGTTAATAGCTAGGATAATTACTTACTATACATGTATGAATATGGAACACTGAAATCTATCGAAGTCATTTCAAGAAGGGGAATGGGAGAAGAGTGAGGTTAATGGAGGGGGTGAACCAAACCAGGGTACAATATATGTACATAGGAAAATAATCTCAACAAGCCCCTTCCCTTGTATAACATACTAATAAAAATGTTTTTTAAAAGCTAGCGCAAGAGATTAATTGGCTTAAAATAACACTTTTTTCTAAAAATTGTCCTGGTTAGAAAGAAAGAGGATCATGCCTGTATCTTCTTCCTGGTTATGATATCTAGTTCTTTAGTTAGAAAAGAGAAACAAATCCAGAATTAAAGTATGATTAATGGAGAATAACTTATGTAGCTTTTTAATTATTGAGTCAATTAAAGACTCAATTGTTGATGTTTTGAAGTTCTGTCTCACCAAAAGGCCAGAAACTTGCTGATTGATTTCCTGACTTGGAGCAGTTTAAAGTAGGAAATTAGGAGGGAGACAGATTATTAAAAGCATTAATTGGAAGAGGAGAGTGCTGATAAGAAAGGAACTAGGGGCTGAGGATGTAGCTTTGGTTTCATCAGGACAGTTTATGAGGCATTTGACTACCTTTAGAGAATCATAGTTACTTGGCTCAATTTCTTTACTCTAGCTTGTCCAGGGGCCCTGGATTTGATTCCTAGAAAAACACACACACACACACACACACACACACACACACACACACACACTATCTTATATAACTAGCAGTATTGGGACTATTAACCCTTGTTCCTTGTTAATTTGCCTTTTCCCTCTTGGTTTTTTTGGTCTTTGGTTTAGTTTCTCTTATTATAACATTGTTATTGAACCTACAAGATGCTTCACTTTAATTGTTACTTGATTTGAGAAATGGAAATTATTTCTACTTGGTATTGTAGTTAGTAATTTTTCTTCTCATATTTAGAGTACAAGGAATTATTTTCTTGTTTAAAGTTGAGAAATTGTTACTCTTTAGTGTTTTACATTATGATAATGTTAAAAATCTTTACTGCAGTTTATAGATAATCGGTTTCTTATTTGTATACAAAACTCTAGTACTTCACCAAATGTGATCAAAAAGAAAAGGCAATTTATATGTTCATTTCTTATGTGTAAATAGGACACAAATGTAGCATTCAATGGTAAAATGAGTGTATTGTCAACTCTGTATGTTAGTGTTTTAAATATTATCCATTTTCTCTAGGAGTACTTTTGAATTACCTACCTATTCCACTTTAAATAAATAATGGTGGTCATTAATTGAATAACAAAAAATAGTTTGGTTGCTTTGATTTAGTATGTACTCTTCTGTTAGCATTCAATACAGTTGTAAATTTAATCTAAAGATTATTTTTTACTATTTTAAACAGATATATATCTACATATATTAATGTCCAAGAGAGGGACCCCAAAGCTCACAGATTTCTGGGTCTTCTTTATGAAGTGGAGGAAAACACAGACAAAGCTGTTGAATGTTACAAGGTAATTATAGGATCAAAGCTAAACACATAATGCCCAGAGTATTTTATATAATAAATAACTGAGGTATATTTTGTGGATGTCATGAAAACAAGCATTGGTATCCTAGTAGCATTAAGTGCCACAGCTTGGAGTAGATTTTAACAACTTTGAAATAACATATTGTCATCTAGGAATGAAATTTTAAGGTGTCTGCAAGTGATAATTTTTAAACATTTCTATGACTGTAATTTTGCATACATATGATTTATTATTTACTAACTTATCTCTTTTCTGATGTTAGCGTTCAGTGGAGTTAAACCCAACACAAAAAGATCTTGTGTTGAAGATTGCAGAATTGCTTTGTAAAAATGATGTTACTGATGGAAGAGCAAAATACTGGGTTGAAAGAGCAGCTAAATTTTTCCCAGGAAGTCCTGCAGTTTATAAGCTAAAGGTAAAAATCAAACCAAGCAAAACATAACAGGTGAAAACTAAGATACAACCATTTCTAATATTTAGAGTTTTTTCAGTAGCAAACCTTAAACTGAGGAGGTTTTTTTTTTCTTTAACTTTTCTTTAAAAATATTCTTTAAAACTCTCTGAGCATCTACTGTCTTATTAGAAATTATTATCTGAAGTGATCTCAAGTGAGCCTAATAGACTCACTAATAGACTGGAGAAAGTAAGTCTGTAAAGAAGTAAAGTAGTATTTTGTTCTAGGCAGTAGTAGTTTGAGGAGTGAGATAATGAAAGTGAAATTTGAGATTTCCCAAACTCCATATGCCTTATCCACAACTGTTCAAACTGTGTAGGCACAGAGAAGAGAGATGGTAGAGTTCTTCTAAGGAAAGAAAGGTAGATGGAATTTGGTGAAGGGATTTACAAGCAAGCAGTAGTCATGAATATTAAGGATTATTGCATTTTAGCTTCATACAGAATAAGTAAATAAATACATGTGTTACAGATAATTAAAACTTGGTGATGTCAGTGCACTGAAGGGAGCTTTTCACAGTGGAAGAGTATGTTGCACTGAGCGTAGATGGGCACCAATGAAGTAGGAGAATACAAAGAGGGTGGTGGTCTGAGTGGTACGAATAAAATGTAGATTTTGAGGACCTATGTGAATGTCAAATGAATGGCCAAGTTTGGAGTGAAACAGTATCACTGAATATGAAGTGATTAAAGAAATGAGTATTTAAGCTACTGCATATCTTGTATATATTTTAATTGCCAATACCAATGACAGTGGTTAGGGATGACGACTGATTTATTACAGTTACCACAAAGTTTACAAAAGGAATTGGAGTAGTTGGTTTGGAGTTGGCAGTGAGTGAGTAGGCCACAAATAACATCTGTGTTTGTCAGCTAGGAGAGAAAGCTGTTATGGCCTCCAGGTGGTGAGGAGCTAGCCTGACAAGTTAAGGTCAGGAGGTGAATCAGTGCTTTGAGAAGCATTGAGGATGAGGTAATTAAGTTGGTTTCATGGACATACAGCGTTTGAAGATACAGACCCTAGTGGGGAGGCTTAGGCTTTCGGTTGTGACTGACATACACGAGGCAGAATAGTCTTAGAAGTCTCTACAGCTTCTGCAGTATTCCTGGATGCTTTTCTGTATAAAATTATTCAGGTTTAGCTTCTGGGAACAACTCTGAAGGGACTAACAAGGTAGGTGGTATACAGGATGGCACTTGTGGCAGCACTTTCTTAAAACTACTCACGATGAAATGTTGTCTAGATGTTATTCTAATGACTTTTTTCCTCCCCAAAAGGAAAAGCTTCTAGATTGTAAAGGTGAAGATGGATGGAATAAACTTTTTGACTTGATTCAGTCAGAACTTTATGCAAGACCTGATGATGTGCATGTGAATATCCGACTAGTGGAGCTGTATCGTTCAAATAAAAGATTGAAGGATGCTGTAGCCCATTGTCATGAAGCAGAGAGAAACATAGCTTTGCGTTCAAGTTTAGAATGGAATTCATGTGTTGTACAGACCCTTAAGGTAGGTGAAAGTTGTTGGGTCTTTACAATTCTGTATAGACAGTTGCCATACACTTCTTTATACATAAATAGTGCCCTTTAGCACTTAAAAATTCTTTCATTTATTTAGAGCAACTATAAAATTAAATTTTTACCAGCATAATTTCAATTTATAATGGATAGATTGGGGAAATAAATATGACAAATTTTTTCTGTTATTTTTATTTATAAGGTAGGTATAAAAACCAATACTATTTCATACATGTGATAGAATGGGCCAGGAATTTGTAGGCATAAAATGGAAAGAAGTTTCTTAATTGTAACTTTTTTTTTTTTCCTAACAAAAATAGGAATATCTGGAGTCTTTACAGTGTTTGGAGTCTGATAAAAGTAACTGGCGAGTAACCAATAAAGACTTACTTCTAGCCTATGCTAATCTTAGTCTTCTTATGCTTTCCACCAGAGATGTTCAAGAAAGTAGAGAATTATTGGAAAGGTATGTTGATTTTGAAGGAGTCATCAGCATAAATTACAGATTTTTTTGTTTGCAGTAATTCGTTCATTGGTCCAGTTATGCAACATAAAAATAAGCACAAGATGGTTCATCTATTTCATTCATGAAATAGAGAATGAAGGTTAATAGGAGTTTGAATGTGGAGATGAAGCTTGAAATAAACAATCTTATTTTGAATTAAATAAACTGATTATTCACAATATAGTAGATAATGGACTACCTGTTTTAATATTTTGCTATTGCAGTTTTGATAGTGCTCTTCAGTCTGTGAAATCTTCTGTGGGTGGAAATGATGAACTGTCAGCTACTTTCATAGAAATGAAGGGACATTTTTACTTGCATGCTGGTTCTTTGCTTTTGAAGATGGGTCAGCATAGTGATGTCCAGTGGCGAGCTCTTTCTGAACTGGCTGCGTTGTGCTATCTCATAGCATTTCAGGTAAGCCTTTTTCAATTTTCAGTCCAACTGATATTTGACAAAGATGTCATGTTTCTTGTGGTGGTGTGTCCTAGTATGTAACGAAAAGATGTGAGCAAACCTATAGGGTTAATATGAAAATCATTTTGTTGAGTTAAAACTAACAAGGTGTATGCAATACTGCTAAGACTGGTATAACAGGTATGTTGGTTTCTTGATGTTGACAGTGTATACTGTAACACTTTCTTGATGACCAGTTTGAAGCATTTGATCTTTTTGCTTTGCCATTTCTAGGAACATAATAATAAAGACATAATTTTCAATATGAGTGAAGCTTGATTCAGAAAGATATATGAGGTGGATGTGATAGTGCCCGCTTGTAATCCCAGCACTCAGGAGGCTGAGGCAAGGAGGATCACTAGGTTGAGGTCAACTTGGCTACATAGTGAGACCTTGTCCCAAAAAAAACAAAAAAAATGTATATGAGAAAGACCTAATAAGCACATTTAGGGGTATGATTAAGGTATGGTAGAAGAATGTGATTGCCATTTTAACATGTTGATTGAAATATGTGTAATTTGTACATAATATATCTTGAATACTAAATTTTTTTGTCTTTGAAAACAAAACCTTATACATAGAACATGGCAAAAAAGAAATGTCCAAATGTTACCCATTGTTTTTAGACTATAGAATCCTTGCTGATACGCCATTTCCAATGCATTTTTTGAGTTTTATGGTAATATATGAGCTTGTATTACTTCTGAAATGAAAAGAAATAAGCAGCCTCCCCCCAAGAATCATTAAACCAGGCTTATAAAAATGATTGTTAGTAGACTGGAGGCCTGCTAACCTGAGTTAGCATCGCCTGAGGCGATGACCTGAGTTCAGTCTCCAGTACCAGCAAAAAAAATAAATAAATAAAAAGATTGTTAGCTTTAAAGAATAATTTTTTTTTCTTGGGGGTGAAAAATAAAAGGATTCAGCTGGGCACTGGTCGCTCACACCTGTAATGCTAGTTACTTGGAGGCAGAGAACAGGAGGATCCTGGTTTGAAACCAGCCTGGGCAAATAGTTAACGAGATCCTATCTCGAAAAACCCATCACAGAAATGGGCTGATGGCGTGGCTGAAGGTTTAGGTCCTGAGTTCAAACTCTAATACCACCTTTTTGTGGTACTGGAGATTGGTACTCCAGGAGTTATGTCAAGGTAACTTCTTTTAGGGTAGAGTTTTCATTTTCTTGGTCAGAGAACTGTTGTGGTTCTCTTTGGTGGCACGGGAGTTTGAATTCAGGATCTTGTGCTTGCTTGCTTAAGTGCTCTGCCATTGAGCCACACCCCCAGCCCCTTTTGCTTTTATTTTTCTTGTGGGTTTTTTTTTTTGCCCAGGCTGGCCTTAGACCTCCATCTTCCTACTTTTGCCTCCTGTATAGTCAGGAGCACAGGCACACTTCACCTTGCCTTGCTTATTGGCTGAGAAGATGTCTTGCTAACTTTTTGCCTGGGCTGGTGTAGAGCCACGATCTCCATATTCTGAAGTAGCTGAGATTACAGGTATGCACCACCATACCTACTTCCAAGCCCTTTTTGCTTTAGTAGTTTTTGAGATAGAGTCTCATGTTTATGCCTGTGCTGACCTGGACTGCGATCCTCCTATTTATGCTTCTTGCTTTAGCTGAGATGGCAGTTGAGTGCCACCATGTGCAGCCTTTTTTTTTTTACTGGTTGAGATGGGGGCTTGTGAATTTTGTGCTTGGTTCAGCCTCAAGCTACAATTATTCTCTGGATTTCTACATCCAAGTAGTTAGGACTATAGGCTTGAGCCACTGTGCCTGGCTGTCCTTGCATCTTTATTGGAACCAGACCCTGGTTGTGATCCTTCTACTTGTATTTTTTTTCTTTCCCTGCTGGGTCTGGAGTTCGAACTCAGGGCTTTGTGCTTGCGAAGCAGGCACTCCTGCTTGAGCTATACCTCTGGTGAGATCCTTCTACTTAATGCCTCCCAGTAGCTGGGATTATAGGTATGTACCACCATGCCCAGCTTTTTTGTTGAATTGTGGCCTTGCTAACTTTTTTGCTTATCTGGTCTTGATCTCTGCCTTCTGAGTAACTTGCTGGGATTACATGTGTGAGCCACTGTTTCTGGCCTATCAAAGTGTCTTGAACCCTATGCTTAGTTAATACAAAAAAAGAGGACTTTAGTGGATAGATAACTAATTACCATGTCACAAATTTAGCTGTCAAATAATCTTGTAAAAGAAGCCAGGTTTATGAATTTAGGACAGCTTGAAAACATAAAGAACTACTTAATGTTTTGTTTTCTTATTTGTGTAATATTTTCAATATCTATAGGTATTAGAGTTGGACATGTTTGGAAACCTTGTGGATAAAAGGAAAAGCCAAACTAATGTTTGTAAAATTCAAAATCAGAAGTGTTTAGGTTCATAAGAAATCTATTTTGAAAAGCTAATATCTTTAGAAAGGTTTAGGATTCTAGTGGCATACAAGAGGATATTATGAAAAGTTTTTCCTGCCTCTGTTCTGCAGTCTACTTATTTACCTTGGAGAAACTAATTGTGATCACTTTCTTGTGAGTTCTGCAAGATGGAACCCAGGTCCACATGCCTGCTAGGCAAGCACTGTATCACTGAGCCACACCAAGCCCAAGAGATGTTTTGTTTATCTACAAAAAGAAAAGTAGAATATGTACATATTTCTTTACCCTTGAAAAAAGATAGAAAACATTCTGAACATTCTTTTTACTTTGACTTATTTCCATGAAATACATATTCAAGCTGTTCTCATATCAGTGCATAAAGAGTATTTCTGTATGCATAAAGAGTACCCTCATTTGTTTTAATGTTTCTGTGCTATTCCTGTGTGTGGTGGTTTTTTTTTTTTTTTTTTGGTGGTGGCACTGGGGTCTGAACTTAGGGACTCCTACCACTTGAGACACTCCACCAGCCCTGCATATGCTGTTGTGTTTTGTTTTTTAAACCAGGGCCCTCAAACTAAGACGTAAGGTTGCTTTCACTTTACTTTTATTTATTTATTTATTTATTTGGCTATGCTATTTTGGATAATCAGGCAATGAAAAACTTGTGGCATTTCACCTGTGAAAATTTATAGGTAGAATGAATTCCTGAAAAAATTGTACTATCAAAATGTAGGGATTTATAACTTTTAGATTTCTTGCCAAATTTCCAAACTTGCAAAGGTTGTACCAAATAACATTTCTCACACTAATTAAGAAACTCATGAGAAGGGCTGGGGTTGTATCTCAGTGGTAGAGCACATGCTTTATCATGGGTAAGATCCTGGGTTCAGTCCTTAGCACCACAAAAAAAAGAAAAAGTCATGAAAGATTTGGCTACCTTAGGATATTGCCCAGGAATCATGGCCTGTTACTAAGCATTTTCAAGGATGAATACTTAGTACTTTTCAAGGAAGCCCATGTATGTTTGGAAAATTTGATTCTTTATGATTCCTTATATGAAGTAAAAATATTCTTCTAGCTGCTCCCTACAAGATATTATTCTTAAATCTGAAGGCAACTATCTGTTTTTCACCATTATTTTTTATTCACCATTCTTTCGGCTTCTCTTCATAGGGTATGGTTTATTAATTAATTAATTGGCAGCACCAGGGTTTGAACTCAGGGCCTCTACTTGCTAAGCAGGTTAGCCCTGTTTTTGTGAGGTTTTTTTTTTTTTTTTTTTTTTTTTTGAGATAAGGTCGGGGCTGGCTTTGCACAGCTAATATCTGCCTCCTGAGTAGTTAGGATTATAGGCGTGAGCCACTGGCACCTGGCATAGGTGTGATTTACAGTGCACTTATCTCTTGTTTGTGTCACTTTATTCCAGTAGTATCCGAGGTCATCCATATGTTTTGAAACTGTGCTCACAGTGCTATTTCCAAGTATAGTATCATCAATGCTGTTCATTAGTAGGCTTGTCATCTATTCTGCTATAGCTTATGTAGAATAGAAAAATAATACAATGAATTTCTTTATTTTCCCAAATGAAATTTGTATGTGCTTTTATTAAAAGTCACTTCAGCAGTGCTACTTGTAGTGCATCTTTTACAGATAATACAATTTACTTGGCTCTCAGTTTTTTGCAGTCTGTTTTCCAGTTAAGTTTATTCATTAGTTGACTATTATAAAACATCCTAATGTAATACAAAGGAACTTCTCACTATAAGAAATGTGGGTACCACTGAATTAAGATGTTTTATTTTAAAATTAATCAGGTCCCGAGACCAAAGATTAAATTAATAAAAGGAGAAGCTGGACAAAATCTACTGGAATTGATGGCCCATGATCGTCTGAGCCAATCAGGTAATAGTAATATTTTAATTGATCTAATTTAAACGGATAGGAGGAATATTTCTCTGTTACAGCACATCTTGTGTTCAAATCTTCCTGCCCAGGAGATATTTTGTCATAGTTGTTTCTTTTTGCCCTTTTAGATGAGGATTTAGGTATGGAAGGGATTAGAAGAATTGGTATATTCTATAAAAGAAACAAATACTCAATATTATTCTAGGTGCCGATAACTACTTGACTCCTTTTTTATCTAGCTACTAGAGCCTCCATCCTGAATATGTCAACACATTTTCTGAACTAAGTATAATTTTACTTGCTAGCCATTTAACACCAGCTGCTTGTAAAACACTGCTGTGGGGGTTATAAAAATGAAGAAGATAGAGATTTATCTCTTAAGGTGCTGAGAACATAGTCTGGAAGCTAGGAAGTATATATCCACATTCCCTTAGGCTTTGAGAATTTACGTATGTACTCCAGATTTTGTCTGTGTGGAATGCATTCTAAAGGTCTGTACATATTATTTGTGATTTTACTAAGGCACAGACTTCAAAGTAGGTCAGCAACCAGTGAATCAAGTAGTGAATTGAAGAAACATAATTTGGCAAAGAGCAGTTTTGATATATAATTTAGTGAGCTTTGTCAAGAACAAGAAGTAGTTTTAAAATTACAGTTGATAAGAGCTTTGGTCCATATTTAGGCTGTCCGTCAAAGCTCATGTTACTCTTTCTACTTTTGTTTCCCTCCCATGGGAGTTAAGACTTTTACTCCTTGAATTACTTTTCACTGTCCTTTCTTCCTTCTTTCTTTCCTTCCTTCCCTCCTTCCCTCCTTCACTCCTTCCCTCCTTCCCTCCCTCCCTTTATTTCATTCATTCATTCATTCATTCTTTGATCTGGGCACTCAAGTTTACTGAGAGAAAACAATCTGGTGGTAATCCATCCTGCCTGACCAGCAGAATTAACCTCAAGGAGGCTGTGTTTTTACTATTTTTTGACCAGCATAATCAAGATAATTCTCACATCACACAATTCATGTGTTTGCAAGTATGCATTCATTTGTTTAAAATATGTTCAGAGTTGTCATCACAACTTCAGAACATTTTTATCATCCACAAAAAACCCTATATGCATTAAAAATCAATACCATTTTCTCCATTCTCCTCAACCCTAGGCAATCCATAATTTATTTGCATCTTTTTTTTTCTTTTATTATTCATATGTGCATACAAGGCTTGGGTCATTTCTCCCCCCTGCCCCCACCCCGTCCCTTACCACCCACTCCGCCCCCTCCCTCTCCCCCGCACCCCCTCAATACCAGCAGAAACTATTTTGCCCTTATTTCTAATTTTGTTGTAGAGAGAGTATAAGCAATAATAGGAAGGAACAAGGGTTTTTGCTGGTTGAGATAAGGATAGCTATACAGGGCATTGACTCACATTGATTTCCTGTGCGTGTGTTACCTTCTAGGTTAATTCTTTTTGATCTAACCTTTTCTCTAGTTCCTGGTCCCCTTCCTATTGGCCTCAGTTGCTTTAAGGTATCTGCTTTAGTTTCTCTGCGTTAAGGGCAACAAATGCTAGCTAATTTTTTAGGTGTCTTACCTATCCTCACCCCTCCCTTGTGTGCTCTCGCTTTTATCATGTGCTCAAGTCCAATCCCCTTGTTGTGTTTGCCCTTGATCTAATGTCCACATATGAGGGAGAACATACGATTTTTGGTCTTTTGGGCCAGGCTAACCTCACTCAGAATGATGTTCTCCAATTCCATCCATTTACCAGCGAATGATAACATTTCGTTCTTCTTCATGGCTGCATAAAATTCCATTGTGTATAGATACCACATTTTCTTAATCCATTCATCAGTGTGGGGCATCTTGGCTGTTTCCATAACTTGGCTATTGTGAATAGTGCCGCAATAAACATGGTGTGCAGGTGCCTCTGGAGTAACAGTCTTTTGGGTATATCCCCAAGAGTGGTATTGCTGGATCAAATGGTAGATCGATGTCAGCTTTTAAGTAGCCTCCAAATTTTTTTCCAGAGTGGTTGTACTAGTTTACATTCCCACCAACAGTGTAAGAGGGTTCCTTTTTCCCCGCATCCTCGCCAACACCTGTTGTTGGTGGTGTTGCTAATGATGGCTATTCTAACAGGGGTGAGGTGGAATCTTAGTGTGGTTTTAATTTGCATTTCCTTTATTGCTAGAGATGGTGAGCATTTTTTCATGTGTTTTTTGGCCATTTGAATTTCTTCTTTTGAGAAAGTTCTGTTTAGTTCACTTGTCCATTTCTTTATTGGTTCATTAGTTTTGGGAGAGTTTAGTTTTTTAAGTTCCCTATATATTCTGGTTATCAGTCCATTGTCTGATGTATAGCTGGCAAATATTTTCTCCCACTCTGTGGGTGTTCTCTTCAGTTTAGAGACCATTTCTTTTGATGAACAGAAGCTTTTTTAGTTTTATGAGGTCCATTTATCTATGCTATCTCTTAGTTGCTGTGCTGCTGGGGTTCGTTGAGAAGTTCTTACCTATACCTACTAACTCCAGAGTATTTCCTACTCTTTTCTGTATCAACTAGAGTTTGTGGTCTGATATTAAGGTTCTTGATCCATTTTGAGTTAATCTTGGTATAGGGTGATATACATGGATCTAGTTTCAGTATTTTGCAGACTGCTAACCAGTTTTCCCAGCAGTTTTTGTTGAAGAGGCTGCTATTTCTCCATTGTATATTTTTAGCACCTTTGTCAAAGACAAGTTGGTTATAGTTGTGTGGCTTCATATCTGGGTCCTCTGTTCTGTTCCACTGGTCTTCATGTCTGTTTTTGTGCCAGTACCCTGCTGTTTTTATTGTTACTGCTTTGTAATATAGTTTGAAGTCTGGTATCGTGATACCTCCTGCATTGTTCTTTTGACTGAGTATTGCCTTGGCTATTCGTGGCCTTTTGTGTTTCCATATAAATTTAACAGTAGATTTTTCAATCTCTTTAATGAATGTCATTGGAATTTTGATGGGAATTGCATTAAACATGTAGATTACTTTTGGGAGTATCGACATTTTTACTATGTTGATTCTACCAATCCATAAGCATGGGAGATCTCTCCACTTTCTATAGTCTTCCTCAATCTCTTTCTTCAGAAGTGTATAGTTTTCCTTATAGGGGTCTTTCACATCTTTTGTTAGGTTTACACCTAGGTATTTGATTTTTTTTGAGGCTATTGTAAATGGAATTGTTTTCATACATTCTTTTTCAGTTTCCTCATTGTTAGTGTATAGAAATGCTAATGATTTTTATTTTTTTATTTTTTATTTATTTATTTTTTCTTGTGCAATCTGATTTTTAATTTGGATGTTTTAAAATTGTTGTTAGTTTTTTTTTTTTCCTTTTTCTTTTATTATTCATATGTGCATAAAAGGCTTGGTTCATTTCTCCCCCCTGCCCCCACCCCCTCCCTTACCACCCAGTCTGCCCCCTCCCTCTCCCCCCACAATACCCAGCAGAAACTATTTTGCCCTTATTTCTAATTTTGTTGTAGAGAGAGTATGCTAATGATTTTTTTATGTTGATTTTATATCCTGCTACCTTGCTATAGCTATTGATGATGTCCAGAAGCTTATGAGTAGAGTTTTTTGGGTCTTTAAGGTATAGGATCATGTCATCTGCAAATAGGGATATTTTGACAGTTTCTTTCCTATTTGTATTCCTTTTATTCCTTCTTCTTGCCTAATTGCTCTGGCTAGGAATTCCAGTACTATGTTGAATAGGAGTGGAGATAGTGGGCATCCTTGTCTGGTTCCTGATTTTAGAGGGAATGGTTTTAGTTTTTCTCTGTTAAGTATAATGCTGGCTGTAGGTTTGTCATATATAGCTTTTATAATGTAGAGGTACTTTCCTTCTATTGCTAGTTTTCTTAGAGCTTTTATCATGAAATGATGTTGTATCTTATCAAAGGCTTTTTCTGCATCTATTGAGATGATCAAGTGGTTTTTGTCTTGGCTTCTGTAATGTGGTTTATTACATTTATTGATTTTCGTATGTTGAACCACCTGCATCCTTGGGTTGAAGCCTACTTGGTCATGGTGAATAATGTTTTTGATGTGTTGTTGAATTCGGTTTGCCATTATTTTGTTGAGGAATTTTGCGTCAATGTTCATTAAGGAGATTGGCCTATTGTTCTCCTTTTTGGAGGTGTCTTTGCCTGGTTTTGGGATAAGTATGATACTGGCTTCATAAAATGTGTTCGGCAGTTTTCCTTCCCTTTCTATTTCGTGGAACAGTTTAAGGAGGGTTGGTATCAGTTCTTCTTTAAAGGTCTGATAGAATTCAGCAGAGAATCCATCAGGTCCTGGACTTTTCTTTTTGGGGAGACTCTTGATTGCTGCTTCAATTTCATTTTGTGTTATAGGTCTATTCAGGTGATTAATTTCCTCTTGGTTCAGTTTTGGATGGTCATATATATCTAGAAATCTGTCCATTTCTTTAAGATATTCAAATTTATTTGATTATAGGTTCTCAAAGTAGTCTCTGATGATTTCCTGGAATTCCATGGAGTTTGTTATCATCTCCCCTTTTGCATTCCTGATTCTACTAATTTGGATTTTTTTCTCTCCTCATTTTAGTCAGGTTTGCCAGGGGTCTATTGATCTTGTTTATTTTTTCAAAGAACCAACTTTTTGTTTCATTAATTCTTTGTATGGTTTTTTTGGTTTCTATTTTGTTATTTCACCTCTTATTTTTATTATTTCTCTCCTTCTATTTGTTTTGGGATGTGCTTGTGCTTGTTTTTCTAGGAGTTTGAGATGTATCATTAGGACATTGATTTGGGATCTTTCAGTTTTTTTAATATATGCACTCATGGCTATAAACTTTCCTCTCAGGACTGCCTTAGCTGTGTCCCATAGGTTCCAGTAGGTTGTGTTTTCATTTTCATTGACTTCCAGGAACTTTTTAATTTCCTCTTTTATTTCATTGATGATCCATTCTTCATTAAGTAATGAGTTATTTAGTTTCCAGCTGTTTGCATGTTTTTTGTCTTTACTTTTGTTGAGTTCTACTTTTACTGCATTGTGATCAGATAGTATGCACGGTATAATTTCTATTTTCTTATATTTGCTGAGACTTGCTTTGTGCCCTAGGATATGATCTATTTTGGAGAAGGTTCCATGGGCTGCTGAGAAGAATGTATATTGTGTAGAAGTTGGATGAAATGTTCTGTAGACATCAACTAGGTCCATTTGATCTATTGCATATTTTAGATCTTGGATTTCTTTATTGATTTTTTGTTTGGATGACCTATCTATAGATGATAATGGGGTGTTAAAGTCTCCCACAACCACTGTGTTGGCGTTTATATATGCTTTTAGGTCTTTCAGGGTATGTTTGATGAAATTGGGTGCATTGACATTGGGTGCATATAGGTTGATAATTATTATTTCCTTTTGGTCTATTTCCCCTTTTATTAGTATGGAATGTCCTTCTTTATCTTGTTTGATCAATGTAGGTTTGAAGTCTACTTTGTCAGAGATAAGTATTGCTACTCCTGCCTGTTTTTGGGGGCCATTGGCTTGGTAAATCTTCTTCCAGCCTTTCATCCTAAGCCTATGCTTATTTCTGTCGGTGAGATGGGTCTCCTGTAAGCAACAAATTGTTGGATCTTCCTTTTTAATCCATTTCCTCAAACGGTGCCTTTTGATGGGTGAATTAAGTCCATTAACATTAAGTGTTAGTACTGATAGGTATGTGGTGATTCCTGTCATTTAGTTGTCTTAGTTGTTTGAAGGTTTGATTGTGTGTACCTAAGTTGAGGTTACTCTCTACTGTCTTGCTTTTTCTTTTCCTGTGGTTTGGTGCTGCCTGTCTTTTCATGGTTAAGTTGGGTTTCACTTTCTGTGTGCAGAATCCTTGCAGAATCTTTTGTAGTGGTGGCTTTGTGGTCACATATTGTTTTAGTTTCTGCTTATCATGGAAGACTTTTATTGCTCCATCTATTTTGAATGATAGTTTTGCTGGGTAGAGTATCCTGGGTTGAAGTTATTTCATTCAGTGCCCGAAGATCTCACCCCACCTCTTCTTGCTTTTAATGTTTCTGTTGAGAAGTCTGCTGTGATTTCGATGGGTTTACCTTTGTATGTTACTTGGTTTTTCTCTCTTATAGCCTTCAATATTCTTTCCCTAGTTTCTGAACTTGTTGTTTTAATGATGATATGTCGTGGGGTAGTTCTATTTTGATCTGGTCTGTTTGGTGTCCTGGAGGCCTCTTGCATCTGTATGGGAATATCTTTCTCTAGATTTGGGAAATTTTCTGTTATTATTTTGTTGAATAGATTATGCATTCCCTTTGCTTGCACCTCTTCTTCTTCGATGCCCATGATTCTTAGGTTTGGTCTTTTGATGGAGTCGATGAGTTCTTGGGTTTTCTTTTCACAGGTCTTGAGTTGTTTAATTAATAGTTCTTCGGTTTTTCCTTTAATTACCATTTCATCTTCAAGTTCTGAGATTCTTCTGTTTGTTCTGTTCTGCTGGATTGGCCTTCCATTTTGTTTTGCAGTTCTGTTTCGTTCTTTTTTCTGAGGTTTTCCATATCCTGGCAGTTTTCCTCTTTAATGTTGTCTATTTTTGTCCTGAGTTCATTTATCCGTTTATTCATTGTGTTCTCTGTTTCACTTTGGTGTATATACAGTGGTTCTTTGGTTTCCTTTATTTCCTCTTTTGCTTTTTCAAATTCTCTATTTTTGTTGTCTTGGAATTTCTTGAGTGTCTCCTGTACATTTAGTTGACCCTATCCAGAATCATCTCTATAAAATTCTCATTGAGTTCTGTAGTATGTCTTCTTTTAAATTATTCTTGTGGGTTTCATTGGGTCCTTTGGCATAGTTTATCTTCATTTTGTTCGAGTCTGGATGTGAGTACCTGTTTTCTTCATTCCCCTCTGGTTCCTGTACTATTTTTTTGCTGTGGGGAAACTGGTTTCCCTGTTTTTTCTGTCTTCCCGTCATTGTCTTTGGTGTTGTTACTGTCCCTGTACTGTGTGCAATTAAGTATTTTCTAGCTTGTAATAATAACAATGGTAATATTTAGAATGGAAGGGTGAGCTGAGATGGAAGCAAGAAGTTAAAGGAAAGGGGAAAACAAATACACAGACAAGAGGGAGAAAACAGGACAAGGTTTCAGGCAAGTAAGTTTCAAAGGTATAAACAGGGAGTGTTAGTGTAGTAATTGACAGTAAGCTGAATCGACATTTCAGAAAGAGAGGATTGAAAATCAAAAATAAAAAAATTATAAGGATAAAAATAAGAAATAAGTAAATGAAAGAATTATCTATATATAAAAATGAATTAAAATAAAATGGAAAATAAAAAAATTAAAAAAAAAGAAAACAAGCCAAAAAACCTCCAAGTTCCAATGCAGTGTAGTTTCAGTGTGTCCGTCTCAGTCTCCAATCCTGGATATGGTGCCTTAGATGTTGTTCTGTAGTTGTCTCATCAAAGGGGATGCATAAAGTAGAACAAAACTACACACACACACACAAAATCCCCACCAAGTGTCCCAAGTTCAAATGCAGTACAGGTTCAGTAAGTTTTTCAGCATGCAGGTGTAATTCGGTTGTTCTCTCATCAAGGGTAGGGAGAAAAAGAAAAAAAAGAGTCTGGAGACTGTTCTGAGAATGGTATCTGCAGCTGTGGCTTGCCTGCCCGCTGCTGTCAGCCTGCTGTTGCTGCTGGTGTTATTTATGTAGATCTCTGGGATGAGCTTAGCACTCACCTGGCCCTGCTAGCTTTGATTACTCGGAGTTTTCCTGTGCGGGAGCTTCTGCCAAAAGCTTTCCCCTTTCTAAGCACACTGGGAAAGTTGACACTGCATCCACATTGTCAGGCCTGCATGTTTATTTACAGTTCATGTGGGAGGTGGGTCTTCCCCCCTCTCCTGTGGAGTTTTCCTCCCACCGCCACTTTCACAAGCTCTCCTGCTGCTGATTACTGGACGGTGCTGCTGCTCCTGCCAGCCTCCATGTTTGTTTACAGCTCACATGGGAAGTGGGTCTTCCCTCCTCTCCTGTGGAGTTTTCCTCCCTCCACCACTGTCACATGCTTTCCCGCTCCTGGTTGCTGAGCACACACACCCGGCTCCCGCCAGAGCCTCTCTGGCCTGCCTGGCTTGTTTATTTACAGTCCCCCAATCTTCGGTGCTCATTGCACCCCACCCTCTTTTGGCATGTCTTAATTGTTCTTATTGCTTATTGGTCAGTTTCTCTTTTTTCCCGTGTGGAGGTGGGTCTGTCCAGGGGGCTATGCTGCTCTTGCCCAGGCTTGTCTGCGGGAGTACCGCGGTACCGCGAAGCTCACCTGGTCTGCGTCTTCCCAAGCCATCTGGGCACAGGCGACTGGCGGCCCGGGGGCCCTCCTGGTTTCTCCGTTTAACGTGAAGTGGAGATTATCTGTACCGGATGGAGGTGTGGAGGGGTCAAAGTCATGCCTCTTCTCAGTGATTATGCCTGCAAAGTGTGTCTCCAGCATCTCTCCAAGATTTTACTATAGGAGGCTCGCTTTCTGCTTCCTCCCTCTAGCCCGCTGTCTTGGAATCCTCCTATTTGCATCTTTTTAAACTGGGTATTTCACCTAAATGGAACAGTGTAACGTAAGGTGGTTTTTTTGTGACTGGCTTTTTTTACTTAATATGTTTTCAGGGTTCATTCATTTTGTAGCATGCAAGAGTGCTCTTTACACAAGGAGTGTTTTTAAAATAAGATTCTTTACCTCAAATTTGTGAGATTAAAAAAAAAATCTCCAGGAGTAGGGCCTGGAAATAAATACTACTTAAAGCCATTTAAAGGAGGATCTGTTCATCCAGATTTAGAAATCAGTGTATTAAATCAGAGAATTAGAGCTTGGCCCAGCTGTTGTATAAAGGCCACTTTAATCCTAGATTTTTCTGTGTCCAATGCAAATACTTAGGGCATTTTCTAAATACATTTTTTATCTTTTTTCTTTCCTTTTATTAATACAGATTTGTTACATCTGTAACTCTTCATTTCCTACATAAGCGTTCTTTTTGTGCAGCTTTGATTTGGGGGGGGAGGGGGTTGTAGGGTCAGGTCAGATAATTAATCCTTGTGAAACAATTAAGACATGTGAGTAAATATAGTCTGTATTTCATTACAAAATGATGGAAATAATTTGTTTTTCAGGGCACATGTTGCTAAACTTAAGTCGTGGCAAGCAAGATTTTTTAAAGGAGGTTGTGGAATCTTTTGCTAATAAAAGTGGCCAGTCTGCTCTGTATGATGCTCTGTTTTCTAGTCAGTCACCTAAGGAGAGATCTTTCCTTGGTAATGATGATATTGGAAACATTGATGTAGTAGCACCGGAACCTGATGACTTGGCTAGATATGATATTGGTAAGTTGTATCTTTCAGAGGAAATACTCTGCATCTTAATCCTTGTACATCAGGAGGAAAATAAGTTACCCATAAACTATTACCTAGAAATGATGATTAATATTTTCCTGTATTTCTTTCAGGGTTTTTTTGGGGAATGGTCAGGGAGTATGGGTGTAGGTGGCATACATTTTTCTTTGAGCAGTTGTTTATACTATATATACTATTTGTCTTCTTTCATGAATTCTCTCCTATAGTATCTATATTAAAACTATAAAATTTTTAATGACAATAATTTGGTTGCTATTTTCTATTATTGGGCACTAATTTGTTTCCAGTTTTATGATGAAAAATTTTAATATAAAAATCAGCATTTTAAATTATTTCTATAGAGAGTCATAAAGACAGAATTACTAAGAGAAAAGAAATGACTGGTTTTAAGTCTCTTGCAAATTGCCAGAATGCTAGAAAGGTTGTACCTTTATGTCTTGAGAAGTTCATAAACTTACCAGTATTTAATATCTTGTAAAAGAAAAGATTTCTTTACTAATGAGTATAGTGATATTCCATTGTTTTAATGACTCTTTATTAAAACGAAAATTCATTATTTTAAGTATCTTTTACTATGTGGCTATTTTTTGTTCTCCATGAGATTTTTGGTGAATCTCATTTTGTTTGATGGTCTGGAAATAAAACATGACTTTTTATTAAAATCTCTAGCTATAAACATGAGATTTTGCTTATCATAGTATTTCCTTCAGCTCTGACATACTAAAACAATTTATAATTAAATGTGATTTAATTATTTGTTTTGGCAACACTAAAGGCACAAAGAAAATTTCCCAAACCTCAAACCAACATTTTTTTTTCCCTTTATTTCAGGTGCCATTCGAGCACATAATGGTAGTCTTCAGCACCTTACCTGGCTTGGCTTACAATGGAATTCCCTGTCTACCTTACCTGCAATTCGAAAATGGCTAAAACAGCTTTTTCATCATTTGCCTCAGGAAACCTCAAGGCTTGAAACAAATGCACCTGAATCAATATGTATTTTAGATCTTGAAGTAAGCAAAGATTGTAACAAATTGAATACTTTGAGTTTTGTTCAGCTTTTTGTATGCTAACTTAATTTTCTTTAAATAAAATAGGTATTTTTACTTGGAGTAATATATACCAGCCACTTGCAATTAAAGGAGAAGTGTAATTCTCACCACAGCTCCTATCAGCCATTGTGCTTGCCACTTCCTGTATGCAAACAGCTTTGTACAGAAAGACAGAAATCCTGGTGGGATGCAGTTTGTACTCTAATTCACAGAAAGGCAATGTAAGTAGTAGTACAATGGAAACACTTCTTTAGACTGGGCAATGTGGCTCATATCTCTAACGCAGCTACTTGAGGGTAGAGATAAGATGACCAGGTTTATGGCTGGCATGGTAAATAATGTTAATGAGACCATAGCTTAAGTAAAAAGCTGGGTGTGCTGGCACATGCTTATAATCCCAGCTACTCAGGATGTGAACGTAGGAGGCTCACAGTCCGAGGCTGGCCTGGCCAAGAAGTACAAGCCTCTTATCTAAAAAATAACTAAAGGAAAAAAGGGTTGAGAGTATGTGGTTCAAGTGGTCGTGTCCTTGCCTACCAAGTGTGATGCCTCTGAGGAATTACAAAAGCTGGGCCTTGGTAGCTTATTTAATCCTAGCTGGTTCATGACATCCCATTTCAGCCACCTATCATTCTATGCTACACGGGAAATCAGGAGGCTCATGGTTCCAGGAAAGTTTGTGAGTTCCCTGTCTCAGTGGACTTTGCTGAGCATGGTGGCATGTGCCTGTTATCTCAGTTATGGCAGGAAGCATACAAAATAGGATTGTGGTCCAGGCTGCCCTGGGCAGAAAATAAACGGAGCAAAAAGGGCTCAAGAGGTAGAGTGCCTGCCTAGCAAGTATGAAACCCTGAATTCAAACCCCAATACTGCCAGAAAAAACTCCCCCAAAACAAAAACAAACCTTAACTTACTACCTAGGTTTTGCCAAGGATTTAATTTCTCATGTGAAAATTAGTTTGTTGCAGCAATTACCATACATGTAAATATTGAATGTTTTTATTTTTATTTATTTTTTTTATTCATATGTGCATGTTTTTATTGAAAAAATTTTTTTTAATTACATAAATTTTTTTTCTTAGACCTGGAGCCTCAGCAAAATTGCGACTTCTGGTTCAGCATGAAATAAACACTCTAAGAGGCCAGGAAAAACATGGCCTTCAACCTGCTCTGCTTGTGCATTGGGCAAAATGCCTTCAGAAAACGGTAAGTTCATTAAAGTGTAAATTTTGTAAAGAGCAATACCGTAATTTAAAACATGAAGTTAATATCAGTTTGTTCATCTTATGTTAAGGTAGAAAATTTTTTAAAATTTTTTTATAAAAGAGTTAATGTAATATGTTAAATGTGTTAATATAAGTAAGCACTTAGAAGAATAGAATGTTACCTAAGTATTAAGTGTTACTGTTATTAATAGTGTAGTTGATAATTACTGCTGAACCTGAAATTTCTTTTTTTTTTTTTTGGAGGGGGTTATTGGGTTTGAAGTCAGGACCTCATGCTTGCTGGGCAGGTGCTCTACCATTTGAGACACTTTACCCTAGCCCAGCCTGAAAATGTTTTTACATGTTAAGTAGCATAAGGCATTGTAACTAAGGCCATTATAGATCTTTCTATATATTTAAGGTCTTTTCTGTGTCAGGATTAGCTGTATGTAATTAGATTGTGCTGCCTTGTTAGGTTGTATTATTGAAAATGTTTAAAAAACCTGAGTTGTAGAAATGACCCAAATATTGTATGCACATATGAATAATAAAAAAAAAAACTGAGTTGTAATACCCTCTGGTATTGAGGCAGTTACTTACTCCAGGATTTGGTAGATGAGCAAATGACTTGATATTCCATTTGGTTTTGACTTAATATTTTAAACAGTCTTCCTACCATTTGTAAATGAAGTTTTAGATATAATAGTTCCTTAAAATTGTGTGCTTCTAACTTTCTGTTTTAGGGCAGCAGTCTCAATTCTTTTTATGATCAACGGGAGTACATAGGCAGAAGTGTTCATTATTGGAAGAAAGTTTTACCATTGTTGAAGACAATCAAAAAGAAGAACAGCATTCCTGAACCTACCGATCCTCTGTTTAAACATTTTCATGGTGTGGACATTCAGGTAATGAAAAACCCCTGGGAATTTACTGCATTTGCTCCTTATAAACTGCTTAAATAAATTGCCTTGGTATTAATGGTTGCTTTCTAAAATCCATAAACTAACACAGATATGACAGAAAAAGAGTAGTGAGATGTTAGTCTTATTTAAATCATATGGAATATTTGGTGAAATCATTTTGATTTAAAGTAATTTGACTAAAAACTACTAAATGTATTTTAGGTGTCTGAAATTGGTGAATATGAAGAAGATGCACACATAACTTTTGCTATATTGGATGCGGTTAATGGAAATATAGAAGATGCTATGACCACTTTTGAATCTATTAAAAATGTTGTTTCTTATTGGAATCTGGCCCTGGTAAGTAGCTGTGGTATTTGTATTAAGAGTGTTTTGTTTTAAAAACCAAATTGTTTCATAAAAGCACTCTTTGTATAGATTTTTCACAGGAAAGCAGAAGATATTGAAAATGATGCCCTTTCTCCTGAAGAACAAGAAGAATGCAAAAATTACCTAAGAAAGACCAGGGACTATCTAATAAAGATTTTAGATGACAGTGATTCAAATCTTTCAGTGGTCCAGAAAGTAAGTTGCAGGTTGTTGTCTATAATTTATTGTGTATTGTTGATAACTGGGTAACAAATTTTTCTGCCTTGGTTTTATATTTTGGCAATTCCAAAATTAATAGTTTATGGAAGGGGTGTATGTATGTGTGTTTAGTGTTTAGCTCACTGTGTCTTAGGCTTGGTGTATCTTTTTTTCAAACTTGGTAATCTAGGTATATACGCTTACAAAAATACTTGAGGAATTAGAAAAGGTTTCCAAGATACACACTGATTATTGTCATCTTGGCAGTATGATCAAATATTGTAACTTTAGAATTAATTCCTAATGCACTTTGGTGAACTGGAAAGTTGCTGCTGACAGTTTCAGAGCATTTTTTCTCATCCTTTTAATCAGCACTTGTTTTCTAGCTGCCAGCGATTTCACAATGTCATTATGGTGTGTTTAATTATGTTCAGCTTTCCTTCTGAGTTTTTTGTTGGTGAATTTGTATTGCTATTGTTAGATTAGGATTCATGTTGTCTGGTGCTTTCCAGTATCCATGTTCCTCTCTATTCAAAATCACCTACAAAATCACTAATGTATTTTGCTCATGTAAAAAGGCTCTCAAGTTCACGTTCCTTTATTATTATGGCTTACAGAAATAATAGAAACAGCATGTCCTTTAGAGTCAAAAACTTTAGATTATACAACAGTTTCACATGTATTATTTAAAGTATAAAGTGATGATTGTCAAGAAGTTTAGAAAATTTAGCTGGGAGTGGCTGTTCATACCTGTAATCCCAGTACTCAGGAGGCTGAGGCAGGAGGATTGAGAGTTTAAGGTTAGCCTGGGATATATAGCTGTCTCGAAAAGAAAAAAGTAAGGGAAATGCAAACAAATTAAGATAGAATCATTTAGAGTTATTATTTTGGTGTTTTTGTACCACTGATGAATGGTTTTTGGTTTTAGTTGCCTGTGCCCCTGGAGTCTGTAAAAGAGATGCTTAATTCAGTCATGCAGGAACTGGAAGATTATAGTGAAGGAGGTCCTCTTTACAAAAATGGCTGTTTGCGAAGTGTAGACTCAGAAATAAAACATTCTACACCATCTCCTACCAAATATTCACTATCACCAAGTAAAAGTTATAAGGTGAGTAGGAATGAAATGAGTCATTCCATTGTGGAACATATTTTTTCCCTAAATGTTTTAAATACTGGTTGGTTGGTTTGTGATTTTTCTTCTTTTTTTTTTTTTTTCGTCTTTTTTAGTATTCCCCCAAAACTCCACCTCGGTGGGCAGAAGATCAAAATTCTTTACTGAAAATGATCTGCCAACAAGTGGAGGCCATTAAGGTAAACTAAATTAGTTAAATGTACTTACCCCAAGGTTCCTTCCCTGACTACTTTCTCACTTCCTTGCCATACTACTATAGAATCATTCCATGTCCTCCCTACCTCTCTCAACCTTCTCTTATTTTTGAACTTACTTTTGTCTGTCTCCTCCACAAAATGAGAGCTGTTCAGAAGCAGAGACTTTTTTTTCCAAAATGTACCTTGTTTCCGATTACAGGAGATGCCCAAGTGATTGAATTGAACTATTGAGGTATAGTAATCATACCTTGCTCTACAGTTCATTTCTCTACTTGGCTTTGGATTAGCTGTGTGTCAGGTTTATAGCGAGAAACTGAAAAGTGGTCTGAGCTTCAAAAAGTTACATTTTTGGCAGTACTGAGATTTGAACTCCTGGCTTTATGCTTGCTAGGCAGATGCTCTACTGCTTAAGCCTCACATCCAGCCCTTTTTGCTCTGATTATTTTGGAGATGGGATCTCATTTTTTTGCCCAGGGCAGGCTGGACTGTGATCCTCCTATTTTAAGCATACCACTGTTGCTGGGATGGCATGCCCATGCCTCTGAGGCCAGCATTTTTCCACTGAAAACTTTTTGCCCTAATTGTCTTGAACAAGGATCCTCCTCAGCTCAGCCTTCCATGTTGCTAGGATTATAAGCATGAGCCACTGGTGCCAGGCTCAATAAGTTTTTTAAAAAAAATCTTTGTGTAAGGAAATAGTTGTCTGTACATAGCTTTTATACTATAGCACTCACAGAGGCTTTCTTTGGGATTGGAAATATAAGTAGGTTTTTTCATGCTTAATGGGCAAGAACTAAGTTACACTTGTAAAGTTATACCAAGAATTCCGATAGTGGTAATATTATAGTGCAGTCAGCATGTGTGACTGGGAAATACTTTTTGGAGAATACATTTTTGAATTTATACAAAGATTTTGTATGCTGATTTTTGTGTAAGATTGCCCATGATACTACATATGATCTTGGCTTAACATACAGGTTTCAGGTTCCCAAAAATATATCCTATGGAAGTGTAGTGGAGTGTTAACCTGTGAGCCTGAAAAGCTGGGTGCTATTATGGATTCTGCCCCTAGTTAATGATCTTGGTCCACTTGTTTGTTAATTTTGTCTGACTTCTCTTCTGTAACATGAAGAGAATTCTTCAGTTCTATCACATTTTCCAGTTCTTTGAATTTTTAAAATTATGACTATAGTCTGGATTTTTAAAGTTCAGAAGTGTGGACCAGATACTAGTAGTGACCAATAAAAATTTTCTGATCACTTCCACCAGTTTCTCTCTCTCCATTTTTTTTTTTTTTGTGGGGGGTGTATTGGGGATTGAACTGAATGCTTGCTACATTAATCACTCTTCCACTAGAGCCACACCCCCAGTTCTTTCTTTAAAAATTTTTTTAGTTAGGTCTTGTACTAACTTTTTCCAATGATTCTCCTGTGTTTACCTCCTGAGTAGGTGGGATGATTATACATTACCGTGCTTAGCTTGTTTTTGAGATAGGGTCTCGTTAACTTTTTCTGGACTGACCTCAAACCATGATCCTCCTGTCTCAACCTCATGAGTAGCACGCTTTATGGGCATGTATTCCACCCCCAGTTTATTTTTGAGATAGGCGTGCACTAATTTCCTGGGCTGGCCTCACACAGTGATCCTATTTTCTCCATTTCCCAAACATCTGGTATTGCAGGTGTATGCCACCTGCGTATTGTCTGCTTCACAATATCTTGTTTGTGGATGTGCAGGATTTAGCTAGACTAGGTTTAGTAGGTAGATGAGTCCAGACAACTGTACAATGCTTAGAAATTGAGATAGTTATGCTTTCTGGGAGATTTCTATTTGAAACAGTTCTACAAGAAGAAAGCACACATGCTAGATCTGTTTCTGATCTCAAGTATTATAAGTGGTTGGATGCTTCAGCAGAGAAATTTGATACTATTTCAAAATACCTGTTGTCTGGTATCACTGCAGGTATTTTTTGTTTGTTGGGAAAATAAATAATTTCTTGATAAGTACTCATTTTGTAGGTTCTGGGATTGGGTAGATGTTATTCTAGGTAGCACAGTGGTATTATGAAAATCGTCTTTGGATTGATCAGAACCCAGCTGTGCTATTTCCTCTATCTCTTTTCTCATTTTTAAGGTATGAGTTATGTTGCTTACCTGACAGTGTGCTTAAATATAGTGCCTAAAACATTACTACATCATAAATTCTGAGCAGATTATTAGGTTTTTTTTTTTTTTTCCCTTGCTAGTGGGACATTTGGTCATCTTGAGAATTAGTAGTAGTTTGTTATCTCACCTGTGGAAAAGCTTCAAGAGATGATTTTGAATGTTGAGTAGTCCACATGTCCTGAAAAATACATTGCTGTGAAAAGGAAATCCTGGCAGACTAATTAAAGCAAGTGCAGAATGGAAGTGGAGCTGAGATTTAGAAGTCACTCAGTTATTTAGGTTAGAGTTAGTGAATATATTGGTAGGTGGTACTAAAGAATGAAGGGATGGTGGTAGATGAATTTTAACAAATTAAATATTATGTATTTGATAGCTAGATTTCATTGGAAAACAGAACCTCTTAAAGACATCATCAGATACTCAGATTTAAAATACTTACTAAAATTTCCCTGACCGTGTTTCTGGCATGATATAAAATATTTAAAATTATTTTTTTCTTCCAATAGAAAGAAATGCAGGAGTTGAAACTAAATAGCAGTAACTCAGCATCCCCTCATCGTTGGCCCACAGAGAATTATGGACCAGACCCAGTGCCTGATGGATATCAAGGATCACAGCCTTTTCATGGGGCTCCACTAACTGGTGAGTTGGCAACTGGATAATTCCCAGAATTTTGTAAAATTACTATTCCCCCTACCCCCTTCACACTTTTGGAAGTCAAATTCAAGGCTTCATGAATGTTAAAGTGTTAAAGACTATAGCCCCTACCTCTTTCCCCCTCATTTAAATAGATAAATAAATAAACAAGTAAAACTTGTGAAATTACCTTGTCCATATGTTCTTTAGGTACATGTCAACATAGGTCTACTATTTTATATAAAAAGCTATATTTATGTTACTGAACATTTTATATGTCCAAGCAGAAGCAAAACAAACCATAATCTGTTCCCATGTATAGTAAGGCATAATGTACATTTCAGATAAGCTGAATCTGGACAGCATTATCCCTTTAATTGAAACATGTTAACCAATATAGTTATTCACTAACAGGTGCCTAATTAAGAACTTAAATGTTTGTGGAGTTATCTTGGTGATAGAGAGGTAGGACATTAATAGGAAATCTTACTTATTTTGAAATATCATGACAGAAGGTAGAAAACTATGGTGGGTTTTTAAGTTGTGCTGTCCTAGCTGTGTAAGTTAACTTCTGAAATGTGGAGGTACACACAAGTAGGTGTGGTGATGTCTTAGGCATTTATTACAGTGGACAGCAAATACCTAGTGAACCAAGGTTACTTGATAGTGTTTACTGTGGGTTGGCTATATGCAGAAGTACTTTGAATATGTAATTTTATTTAATTACAGTAACTCAGTGTGTTAAGTACCATTACTAATTCCAATTTTATAGATGAAGAAAAGGGTTTAGAAAGGTTAGGTAACTTGTCCATTATTAGTATACTGCTCATTACTGATAGAACTGGTATTTAAACCCCACTATTTTAACTCAAAGACCACTTGCTACTATATGATACATTGCCTCCAGGCAGCCAGAAGTGATAATTAGATTTCTTTTTACATGAGACAAACTCCTGAACTAGTATAGGTTGAGCTACCCCTATGCTGAAAATCTGAAATGCTCCAAAATCTGAAACTTTTTGAGTGCTGACATGGTGGAGAATTCTACACGTTACAACATATGATAGGTCGTGGTCAAAATATAGGTCTGCTAAAAATAACTATCTAAAATTATGTTTAGACTAGATCCAGGCATGTGGCATACACTGTAATCACAGCACTTGGGAAGCTGAGGCAGGAGGATTATAAGTTTGAGGCCAGCTTAGGCTACACAGCAAGATCCTGTCTCAAACACAAAAAAACTTCATGCTTTACATTAAAGGCATTTATGAAACATGAATGAATTTCGTGTTTTCTTGCATTCCATTCCGAAGACATCTCCCTCTGTCTAATGCAATATTCTGAAATCTGAAATACTTTTTGTTCCAAGAATGAGAAGGTACAGTTTATATTGAAGGTTCATAGAACCATACTTAAAGCAACTCCACTGTCTTCTTGTGACAGCGTCTTTTAAATGCAAGCAAATAAGATAATCTTTATGAAGTCAAACTTACTGTCACAATGATAAATATATATTTAGAGCTTAGACCTTGGTTACTTAAAACCGCAGTTCATTGTCTAGAGCCTTATATAAAGGCAATCTGGACTAGCTAACCTTTTTTAGGACTCTCAGTGCCTTGTGCAGTCATTTGGCATCTCTTGGGTCACAATTTCCATTTCTTCTTTGTAGAGGCATATAGGGTCTCTTGGTGTCATACAAGCATATAAACACAGTATTCACAGTATCTCATTTTAGTGTTGCAAGAAGCAGCATATCCTGGCTTTACAGTTTAGAAAAATGAAGACTCCAAATGTTCAGTGGCAAGGTCACAAAGTAACTTTGTAGCGCTGAAAGGGAAACAGCCCAGGTCTCCTAATTTTTGCTACTGTGTTCATAGAGTTTTTACTTTTAGCATGAGTAAAAAATGTAGACCAAGATGTGATTTTTGTCTTTTAAAAATAAAGTGTTTGAGGATAGATTATTAAGCTTATAGGAAATAGTTAGATGTGAACAGAGTAAGGAAAACTAAATCCTGTCACATACAGTATTACTAACAATTTTGGAGCATTTCCTTTTGATTTTTTCATCTTCCTATACATAAAATATTTTTTGAGATTATCACTATGTTGTGTATTGATGACTTAGCCTGTGTTTTTAAGCATTACTTTAGAAGTTCTGAGCATTTTTGAAATTAAATATTCTTAATAGTATCTGCTTAAGTCACCCTGTATACACATTTCCAGGAGTGTTGGGCATCTTAATTTAATTTTTATATTTCCTTTTATCCTTTTTTATTGTAGCCTGTTTTTGTGCTGAGGATTGAATCCAGGGCCTCCCTCATTCTAGGCAGTGCTCTACCACTGAGCCTCCTCCAGCATTTAAAAAACTCAGTTTTGCCTTTATCCCCAATATATTTCTGTTAGGTTTTCAGATTTAAACTTGGACTTCTGATTACCCTTTTTCAGTGTTTTTTCAAAATGGCACCTCTTGGGTCACAATTCTATTTCTTCGTTAATGTACAGGCATAAATGGTCTTTTGATTGTTTAGTTTTCTGGTAAAACTGTCATCAAACCAAGCACTTGACTCGTTTTGCCATCAGTATGAGTACCTTTTAGTTGTTCGATTTCCTCATAAAACTCACAAAACAGATGGAACATAGAGACTATACATTAACATGAGTGTGTGTGTTTTAAGCCAAGGAACACATCTTATGTTACATGTGAGGTCTTTTTTATGAATTTGTCAGGTCATTTTTACCCATACATTCTCATTAGTAGCTTGAGTTTACAAAATGTAGAGTCTTGTCCTTCTATAGATTTTCAAGGCTTACTTCAACATGGCTTTAAGGGCCATTAGATGCATTTTGGTTCCTAAATCCTTTGGGACTATTATATTTCCAGTGTTTAGCATGGCTATTTTCTTGGAAATGGACTGTTTACTTTCTTCTTGGTTCTTTTATGTTTGTTAAGCATTTGTTCTTGCTGACCATGTAGTGGTAATTTCTTGGTTTTCATGTCATATTTCGCAGTTTTTTTCTTCCTAGTTTGTTATTTGGTAATTTCCTTAATAGTATGTGGAAATTATTAAAAATCTGTGTAGTGAAATCTTTCTTTGATTTCTATATTATATTTTATAACTCTTGCCTAGACAGTCTGTAACTGTAGTATAGACTTTAACAGTGTTTTCTTATCTCCCCCTCCCCTCCCTTTTTTTTTAGTTGCAACTACTAGTCCTTCAGTATATTATAGTCAGTCACCAGCATATAATTCCCAGTATCTTCTAAGACCAGCAGCTAATGTTACTCCCACAAAGGTAACAAAGTGATGACTTATACATTTATTACTATTTTACTTTTGATTGCTTAGGCTTCCTTTAAAGAAACTCAAGAGAGTAGTTCAATATTAAAACTTATATATCCTTCCAGATGCAGGCATTTTTCAGATACAGAAGTTAAATGCTCCTTCGTCACCTTATTTTTGTGTTAACAATTAATGTAAATGTTTATTTTTTAAAATGGGAGTAGTGGTAGTGTTGGGGCCTTTATGAGTGTGTTTGACAGAAATAGAATGTCCTTGCTGAACAAGGCTTCTAGGCCTGGTGCATTTAGTATATGTTTATTATGACCTGGTATTACAGTTGAATGTGAGGGCTTTTGAGAACTGAGGATTGGGGTGCATTTAGATAGACCCTTGCTTATTTTGAACATAGGCAAGTTTCTTAACTTGTCTATACACCATATGCCTCATATGTAAAATGATGATAATGTTACGTTAATAGAGTTTTTGAGGATATTAATAATCCTCAAAATGTTTGAGTTGATACATTAATAAATGCTCAGTAAATATTAGTCTTAATCATTATAATTACTATTAATACCTTTTGATGATTGTTTAAGAATTTAGAATATATTTATTTATTGTAGGCATAGATTTTTAAGATGCTCTTTCATTAATTTTCATTATATGCTAAGTGTATATGTAAGTGTCTTTGTAGTAATGTTGCCTTCTCTTAATGATGTGCTATGTACCTTACTGATAACCTTTATCTAGTAATACTCATGTTTGAGGTTTTTGAGAATTTATTTGTATCTAGTTCTTTGTGGTTTTGTAGGCAATCTACAAAATGTTTTACTTTTTTTCTTTTAGGGTCCAGTTTATGGCATGAATAGGCTTCCACCACAACAGCATATTTATGCCTATTCACAACAGATGCACACACCACCAGTGCAAAGCTCATCTGCTTGTATGTTCTCTCAGGAACTGTATGGTCCTCCATTGCGTTTTGAGTCTCCTGCAACAGGAATTCTGTCACCCAGGGGTGACGATTACTTTAATTATAATGTTCAACAGACAAGTACAAATCCACCATTACCAGAACCAGGATATTTCACAAAACCTCCAGTTGTAGCTCATGCTTCAAGATCTGCAGAATCTAAGGTTATAGAATTTGGAAAAACTAATTTTGTTCAGGCCATGCCGGGTGAAGGAATAAGACCATCTTTGCCAACATCAGCACACACAGCACAGCCAACTCCTTTTAAATTTAACTCTAATTTCAAATCAAATGATGGTGACTTCACATTTTCTTCACCTCAGGTTGTGACACAGCCCCCTCCTACAGCTTATAGTAATAGTGAAAGCCTTTTAGGTCTCCTGACTTCAGATAAACCTTTGCAAGGAGATGGCAATAGTGGACCAAAACCAATTCCCAGTCAAACCACTGGGCCTCGAAATACATTCAATTTTGGAAGCAAAAATGTGTCTGGGATCTCATTTGGAGAAAACATGGGGCCAAACCAGCAAAAGAATTCTGGTTTTCGTCGAAGTGATGATATGTTTACTTTCCATGGTCCTGGGAAATCTATATTTGGAACACCTGCTCCAGAGCTGGCAAATAAGAATCATGAAACAGATGGAGGAAGTGCCCATGGAGATGATGATGATGATGGCCCTCATTTTGAACCTGTGGTACCTCTTCCTGATAAGATTGAAGTAAAAACAGGTGAAGAAGATGAAGAAGAATTCTTTTGCAATCGTGCAAAATTGTTTCGCTTTGATGGAGAATCCAAAGAATGGAAGGAACGTGGGATAGGCAATGTAAAAATACTAAGGCATAAAACATCTGGTAAAATTCGCCTTCTAATGAGACGAGAACAAGTATTGAAGATCTGTGCAAATCATTATATCAGTCCGGATATGAAACTGACACCAAATGCTGGATCAGACAGATCTTTTGTATGGCATGCTCTTGATTATGCAGATGAATTACCAAAACCAGAACAGCTTGCTATTAGATTCAAAACTCCTGAGGAAGCAGCACTTTTTAAGTGCAAATTTGAAGAGGCCCAGAGCATTTTGAAAGCCTCAGGAACAAATGTAGCCACACCCAGTCAGGCTATCAGAATTGTGAAAGAATCCGCAAGCCATGATGACAAGGATATTTGTAAATCTGATGCTGGAAATAGGAATTTTGAATTTCATCTTGCAAAGAAAGAAGGGTCTTGGCATTGTAGCAGCTGCTCATTGAGGAATACTGCAAGTGCTAAGAAATGTGTATCATGCCAAAATCTAAACCCAAGCAGTAAAGAGCTCCTAGGACCACCATTAGTAGAAACTGGTTCTGTTCCTATTACTGGCCCAGAAACTACTCAAGATAGATTTGCATTGATGACACCAAAGAAAGAAGGTCACTGGGATTGCAGTACTTGTTCAGTAAGAAATGAGCCTACTGTATCTACGTGCATGGCATGTCAAAACACAAAGTCTGCTAACAAAAGTGGGTCTTCATTTGCTCAAGCTTCTTTTAAATTTGGCCAGGGGGATCTTCCTAAGTCTGTTAACAGTGACTTCAGATCTGCTTTTTCTACAAAGGAAGGGCAATTGGAGTGCAGTGTATGCTCGGTACGAAATGAAGGAAGTACTACAAAATGCGTTGCTTGTCAGAATCCAAGAAAACAGAGTCTACCTACTACTTCTGTTTCAGCATCTTCTTCTTTTAAGTTTGGCATTTCAGAGATCAGTAAAACTGCAAAGAGTGGATTCGAGGACATGTTTGCTAAAAAGGAAGGACAGTGGGATTGCACTTCATGTTCAGTGAGAAATGAAGCAAATGCTACAAAATGTGTTGCTTGTCAGAATCCCACTAAACCAATTCCATCTTCAGGTGTTCCAGCTCCTACTTCCTTCTTGTTTGGTACTTCAGAGATAAGCAAGTCTCCAAAGAGTGGATTCGAGGGAATGTTCACCAAGAAAGAAGGACAGTGGGATTGCAGTTTTTGTTTAGTGCGAAATGAAGCAAGTGCTACCCAATGTATTGCTTGTCAGAATCCAAACAAACAGAATCAGCCTACATCTGCTGTTCCAGAACCTGCCTCTTCAGAGACAAACAAGTCTCCAAAGAATGGATTTGAAGGAATGTTCACCAAAAAGGAAGGACAGTGGGATCCTAATGTTGGCGTTGTACAAAATGAGAGTTCTTCCTTAAAGTGTGTGGCTTGTGATGCCTCCAAACCAACTCATAAACCTACTGCAGAAGCTCCTTCAGCTTTCACAGTGGGTTCAAAAACAAAGTTAAATGAGTCTTCTGGAAGTCAGGTGGGAACAGGATTTAAAAGTACTTTTCCAGAAAAAACTTTTAAATTTGGAATTACAGAACAGGGTTTTAAATTCGGGCATGTGGATCAAGATAGTATACCTTCATTTACATTTCAGGGTTCTTCTAATACAGAATTTAAGTCAATAAAAGAAGGATTTAGTTTTTCCATTCCTGTATCTGCTGATGGTTTTAAATTTGGCATTCAGGAACAGGGAAATCAAGAGAAGAGTGAAAAACCCCTTGAAAGTGACACTGGTTTCCACGATGTTAGTAGCCAGAAGAATGGTAGTTGTGTGATTTTTGGTCAAACAAGTAATACTTCTACATTTGCAGATCTTGCAAAATCATCTTCTGGAGATGGATTTCAATTTGGCAAGAAAGATCCTAATTTCAAGGGATTTTCAGGAGCAGGAGAAAAATTGTTTTCATCACAAAGTGGGAGAATGACTGAGAAAGCTAACTCTTCTGCTGATCTTGAGAAAGATGATGATGCCTATAAGACTGAGGACAGTGATGATATCCATTTTGAACCAGTAGTACAAATGCCTGAAAAAGTAGAACTTGTGACAGGAGAAGAAGATGAAAAAGTTCTATATTCACAGCGGGTGAAATTATTTAGATTTGATGCTGAGATAAGTCAGTGGAAAGAAAGGGGCTTGGGGAACTTAAAAATCCTCAAAAATGAAGTCAATGGCAAGCTAAGAATGCTGATGCGAAGAGAGCAAGTACTAAAAGTGTGTGCCAATCATTGGATAACGACTACAATGAACCTAAAGCCACTTTCTGGATCAGATAGAGCATGGATGTGGCTAGCTAGTGATTTCTCTGATGGTGATGCCAAATTGGAGCAGCTGGCAGCAAAATTTAAAACACCAGAGCTAGCTGAAGAATTCAAGCAGAAATTTGAAGAATGCCAGCGACTTTTATTAGATATTCCACTTCAAACTCCCCATAAACTTGTTGATACTGGCAGAGCTGCCAAGTTAATACAGAGAGCTGAGGAAATGAAGAGTGGACTGAAAGATTTTAAAACGTTTTTGACAAATGATCAAACAAAAGTCACTGATGAAGACAGCAAGAGCCCAGGTGCAGGCAGTGCCAGTACTTCAGACACAACAATCAAGCCAAATCCTGAAAACACTGGGCCCACCTTAGAATGGGATAACTATGACTTAAGGGAAGATGCTTTGGATGACAGCGTAAGCAGTAACTCAGTACATGCTTCCCCATTGGCAAGCAGCCCTGTGAGAAAAAACCTCTTCCGCTTTGGTGAGTCAACAACAGGATTTAACTTCAGTTTTAAATCTGCTTTGAGTCCATCTAAATCTCCTGCCAAGTTGAATCAGAGTGGAACTTCAGTTGGCACTGATGAGGAATCTGATGTTACTCAAGAAGAAGAGCGAGATGGACAGTACTTTGAACCTGTTGTACCTTTACCTGATCTAGTTGAAGTATCTAGTGGTGAGGAAAATGAACAAGTTGTTTTTAGTCACAGAGCAAAACTTTATAGATATGATAAAGATGTTGGTCAGTGGAAGGAAAGGGGCATTGGTGATATAAAGATCTTACAGAATTATGATAATAAGCAAGTTCGCATAGTAATGAGAAGAGACCAGGTATTAAAACTTTGTGCCAATCACAGAATAACTCCAGACATGACTTTGCAAAATATGAGAGGGACCGAAAGAGTGTGGGTGTGGACTGCATGTGATTTTGCAGATGGGGAAAGAAAAGTAGAACATTTAGCTGTACGTTTTAAACTACAGGATGTTGCAGACTCTTTTAAGAAAATTTTTGATGAAGCAAAAACAGCCCAGGAAAAAGATTCTTTGATAACACCTCATGTTTCTAATTCAAGCACTCCTAGAGAGTCACCATGTGGCAAAATTGCTGTAGCTGTTTTAGAAGAAACCACAAGAGAGAGGACAGATTTAATTCAGGGTGATGATGGAGCAGATACAACTTCAGAAGTTGGCGAAGTGTCTAGCACATCTGAGACAACACCGAAAGCAGTGGTTTCTCCTCCAAAGTTTGTATTTGGCTCAGAGTCTGTTAAAAGCATTTTTAGTAGCGAAAAATCAAAGCCATTTGCATTTGGCAACAGTTCAGCCACTGGGTCTTTGTTTGGATTTAGTTTTAATGCACCTCTGAAAAATAATAGTAGTGAAACTGTTTCAGTAGTCCAGAGTGGATCCGAAAGAAAAGTGGAACCTAACAAATGTGAACTGTCACAGACCTCTGATACCAAACAACCTGCAGATGGCAAAGTCAAAAATCTCTTTGTTTCCCTTCCTAAGGAAGACTCTTCAATTAATTATATTTTTAAAACACCAGAAAAGGGTAAGTGTTTAGTCTTTAGAATTAAGCACAGTTTTTCTTTTGTTTTAATTTTTCTTTTTGTGGTACTGGGGACTTCACCTTGAGCCACTCCACCAGCACATTTTGTGAGTATTTTCGAGATAGGGTCTCCTGAACTATTTGCCCAGGCTGGCAAATCCTCCTGATCTCTGCCTCCTGAGTAGATAGGATTGTAGGCGTGAGCCACTGGCGACCAGCTTAATGTTCATCTTGAAGGAGATGCTTTATTAGGATACTAATGTTTTATTCAAAAGTTGAATTACAGACTTCTGGATATATGAGCATTGAAAAAATATTTGAGCAGACTTTTTTCTCCCTAAGAGATATGGGTAAGTTATTTAGTTTGGAAGATACTTACATCATGAGAAGGCAGAGCAAAAGAGCCCAATACAATACAAACTCTTATACTTGAATTGTAAGCATTAACTTGAGTCTTTCAGTGTCAGTATTTCAATCTTACTTTCTTGTCACTCAAACCATATGGTATTGAGATGTTTGTACTTATAAGAGTTAGTCTCGCCACCATTTGTTACATGAGCAAAGAATGAAACCATGATTATAAATGAATATCTAACACAACCAGATTGGTATACATTGAGGACTCTGGCTTTTTATATATTAAAATAACATGCATTTTTGTTTCCCAAGATGTTAAAAAATGAAATACTCTTTATTTTCTAGGGTTTAATTTTAGTCTTTTTAAATCTAATCCAATGGCCTTTTGGACCAGCACCCCTTCCTCACAGCCTGAGAGCAAAGGTATAGAGCTAGTATTCTCAGGATGAGATGACTAGCAGCTGGTAGTCCTTAGCAAAGTAACTGGCTGTATGAAATTAAGTACGTAACACTGCAATATGCATGTTAAAGGATGCCATTTTAAGCAATGTACCTTTTGACTGGTAGTGTAACACCCGTTAATACTACTGTTAAAAATGTATGCTATTGTTTTTCTCACTATTGCTCGTTTTTCTTTTTGCTGCATTATACTTTGTTGCTTTATTATTTTCAAGTTTGCTTAATGAAGACCTATGTTTTATCTAACCTTTGTCTTTAGCTGCTAATGTCTGCCAGTACTCAAATGTGATAGAAGCAGCATGTATACAATAGGGGTTTCTTCAGGGATTTCCTTTTGTATGTGGTTTAGAAAAGTATTATATTTGAAAGTATTGGACAGTGTGGCTCTAGGGAATGTTTCCCTAGTACCAGTTGGTACATAGCATGGTTCATAATTGGCTTACTTTATCAGTTCCTTTAGTAAGAAATTCTTTATAGACCAGAACAGATTTCATATAGAAATCTTTTTGCCCTTTTCATTGGTGGGGAATAGGGAGAAGTAGAGTGGAGAAGGATGTTAACACCATAGACATTTTCTTAAACAGTATTACCCATAAGATGACATTTTTGCTTAATTTTATATACTCACACTTGGAAATATGCAAACCTGTATGCAACTCAAATCACTGGTCATCCTTGGTAGTTAACTCTTCTTACAGGAACTAATCAAGGTTGGCTCTGGGTTAGTTTCATTAGTGAACTAGTTTTTGCTTATGATTTCTTTAAGGTTTTTTTAAGTTGTTGCAGATGCATGGATATTTCTTGTTTAGTATACCAAATGTGATTATGACAGTTACTTTTTAAATGTTAGAAATTAGCTATAATTGTTTTCAGTAACTAGTAAACTAGTAAATAAGAGCAGGATTTATTTATTTATGGTTTTAAATGGATTCTTTGTCCTCTGTTGGTTTTGATAGAACATTAAATGAGGTTGATAATTCTAATTTATGATTATTATAGAGCTTGGTTTGTACCAAAGTATGTGTGTTTTTCAGTGTGCTGTTTTAACTGATATATAAGTTCCATAGTCTATTTTCAGTTAGGCTATTGCTGTCAACTTGTCTTTATCAATTTTTTTTACTTGTCTTACAGCAAAAGAGAAGAAAAAACTTGAAGATCCTCCTTCAGATGATGATGATGTTCTCATTGTATATGAACTAACTCCAACTCCTGAGCAAAAAGCCCTTGCCACCAAACTTAGACTTCCTCCAACTTTCTTCTGTTATAAGAATAGACCAGATTATGTTAGCGAAGAAGAAGATGGTAAATCTTCTGTTATTTAAAACTACTCTGTGCTGCTTAATCTTAGTAATTGGGAATATTTTAAATTTTAAATCTTGATTTTTAGAACTTATCACTAATATCCTTACAGGTGGATATTTTCTCTAAATGTATATGTAAAAACATTCTATGTAATGTGTAGAAGAATGGCAGTCATTAACGAAGCCTTTTTTTTTTTTTTTTTTTGAATGGCTATTGTGTCAAGCAGATGTTTGGAGTGAATTGAAAGCAATCATAATTTTCCAGAAGTCTTAAAGCTGTGGGGAGGGAGATAAGGCATACAGAGTTCATTGATGGAACAACTTATATACCATATCAGAGTTATTAAGTAGGACACTTTTACACATGCTCAGAAAGTCTCAATAAAAGACAGTATATAGAATATTTGGTTGTGGGAGGTTGGAAGCTGTGCAGAAATGATAGCAGAGCAGCACACAATCAGGAGAGCACAAGTAAAGCTCTAACAGGTCTAACAGGAGGAGATTGAGGTCTGGAACTGGCAAAGGGGTCAGCTGTGTGGACATGGAGAGTAAAGGAAAGTGAAGTTGGAAATGATCCCCAGGTTTGTGGTTAGGAAATCCCTCAAAACTCACTAAAATAATTTTATCTAATACAAATCAATTGTACTTTAAGATGAAGATTTTGAAACAGCTGTCAAGAAACTTAATGGAAAGCTCTATCTGAGTGACTCAGAAAAATCTAGGCCATTGGAAGAAAATCTAGCAGGTATGTTGTTTTAAATAACTACTTGTTTTTAAACGAATCTTCTATTTAAAATGATCACTTCTATAAGTATCAGTTTTATTTATACAGTACACCCATGGTGATTTAGAATATTGCAAAATAATGTTAGTTGAGTACAGGGCATGGTGTCACACATCTATAATTCTAGCTGTTCAAGAGACGGAAATCAGGAGGACCATGGTCCGAAGACAGCCTGGGCAGATAGTTAGCAAGAACCCCATTCAGTAAACAAGCTGGGTTAGCTGTGTACTTCTTTAATCCCAGCTACACAGGAGTCATAGGTAGGAGAATTGCAGTCAGGCCAGTCCGGGCCAAAAGCAAAACCCTACCCCAAATATAACTAAAGCAAAAACAAAACAAAACAAAAAAAATCCTGCCTAGCAAGTGGGAAACGCTTAAGTTCAACCCCCCTAGTATTGATAAAAACCTAGAAGTAACATTAGTTGGAAAGCACTGGTCTTTTGGTGGTCCTTGGTCTCCATTAGCATTTGCAGAACTTTTATTTGGTTCTGTAGATTACATTGAGGACCATCAAAGCTGACCATTGCTGCTGCTTCATCTGAATTTTTCTTTTCTTTGGATTGCGTTTGGATTTTTCAGATAATGAGAAAGAATGTGTCATTGTTTGGGAAAAGAAGCCTACAGTTGAAGAGAAAGCTAAAGCAGATACATTAAAGCTTCCACCTACATTTTTTTGTGGTGTGTGCAGTGATACTGATGAGGACAATGGAAATGGGGAAGACTTTCAGTCAGAACTTCAAAAAGTTCAGGAAGCTCAGGTAAGAATGTCTCCATTGTTTTGGTAATTAAGGGTAGGGCTAGCAAATGGATTAGAAGATCTAAGTAAATAGAGTGGTATACTATTCATGGATTGAAACATTCAAATAGAATGTCAGATTTCCCAAAATTGAGCTGTAGATTTAAGATAACACCAGTCAAAACTCTCAGCATCTTTGTACATATAACAAGCTGGTTCTAAAATTTCTGTGGAGAGTTAAAATTGTTCCTGTTCAATGATAATTGTTAGTGAACCTACACCAATATATAATCACCCAGAGTTTTTAAGAGTTTTTATCTTTAATTAAATTAAATTGAATTTTGTCAAGTCATCTTATTCCATCTGTTGTCACTGTCATATGTGGATCTTTTGATTAAATCTGTGAATGATAATGACTTCTTTGAATGTTTAGCAAACCAGTGTTGCATTCCTGGGATAAACCTCACTCTGTTACGGTATACTATTTTTATATGCATTTGGGTTTAGTTTGCATAAATTTTTTTGATGTCATTGGAGGACAGCATTGCAGTACCCTGCAAATCACAGGAACTTAAGATCCACAATGAATAGCATTCCAGGAGGGAAACATAGGGAAAGAAGGGAAACATTTTCTGCTTCCCACCCTGAAAATGGGAATGAAGACTTAAAATGATGCTTCTCATCTTGGGTCTATACTTTCTGAGAACGGGAGACAACATATGGTCATGTAGTCTAGCAACCCCTAATTAATAGAAATACTGGATTCTGCCTGGATCTATTACCCCAAAGCTTGCCAAGATGAGTGCTATTTTTTCTGAAACATGGAGATAAAATGTAGGCCTACCTAAAACACAAGGACAGTAGGTAAGTTTTAGGACTTCCATTTGTAGAGTTGTTCCTTATAATTCTTTATTAATTTTTTAGTATTTGTAGGTTTAGTATTGAAGTATCCTATTTTCTCTTCCTGCTATTACTTGTTTGATATGATTAAAGGTTTATGAATTTCATGATTATTGTGTATGTGTGCTTGTGTGCAGGCGCACGCATGCATGTTCCCCTGCAATTCCCCCAGTGGATACAAATTTTGGTTCATTTTTTTTCCCTCGTAGAAACAGATTTTGACTTTCTTGAATTTCACTGATTTCTGCTCCTTATTATTTCCTTCTTAGAGTTCATTTTGCTCTTTTTCTAATTTCTTAAAGTGGGAAATTAAATTGTAGATTTAAGAACATTCTTCATTTCTAATAGAAATATGGAATGTAATGTTTCCCTTTAGGCACTGTTTAGCTACATCTCACAAGTGTTCTTTTGTCCTTGAATTGTCCATGTCATACTGTCATGATTTTACCCTGATAAAGGCAAAAATAAAAAACAATCAACATGATTTTTCTTTCAGCAGTATAATGGCAGTACTTACAACTTGCTTTTCACAAGTTTTAATATGGTATTTTTACTTTGATTCAGTTCAGAATACTTAATTGTCCTTGTTCTTTTTAATGTATGCATTAGACAGTCATATGCCATTTAAAAATATTTGGTGACTTTCCAGGTGATCATTCAATTATTGATTTGTAGCTTAATTCCATTATGGTCCACGAACATGTTTTGAATAATTTCAGCTCTTAGATTTAGTGAATTAGTGAATTTAGTAACTGTATCATGTACACCTAACAAGAACATGTCAATTGTCTATTTCTGTGGGGTCAAATTTCTTGATACTGTGTTGCTCAAATCTAATATATCCTTACTCATTTTTTCTCTACTTGTTCTGTCAGTTACTAAGAGGAGTGTTATCAGACATAATTGTGGATTTGTATGCTTATCAGCTTTTGCTTCTTACACTTTGTTAATTTTTTCCTTTTTTTAATACTTCACTTATTTCTATTCTCATTGTCTTTCTCTTGATTAGTTTGGACATTGTTCTTTTTCTAACTTCTTAAGGTGGAAAACTTCCACCTTAAGGTCTTTCTTTTTTAATGTGTTTATAGCTTTAATTTTTTTCTCTAAGCATTCCACTACTGGCTGCATTCTAAATAAGCTTTGGTACTTATTTTTCTTCATTTCAAAGTATGCTTTATTTTCCCTTGTTAATTTCTTCTTTTACCCATTGGTTAGTAGTGTGTTAATTTCTAGATATTATAAATATTACATATGAGAAGAAATCCTATAACTTCAGTACTTTTAAATCTCTTAAGACTTGTTTATAGACTAGCATATGTTCTGTCATTCTAAAAACTCCTATATGCTTGAGAAGAGTATGCTTTCTGTTGTTCAGCATCTTAAAATAGTAAAGCTTGGATTAATATTCATTTAACATAATTCAGTATTGTACAGAGATTTTGTTTCAAAATCAGTTTTCTCCATTCTTGTTTGCTATTCTTGTCATGTAAAATACATCTTTACACATTACAGCTTACCAACCCAGTTATTGTTATCATTATGTACATGCTTTCCCCCACCCCATCCCCCTTTGTTTTTTGGAGACAGAGTCTCACTAAGTAGCCCAGGCTGGCTTTGAACTTGCAACTTTCCAGCCTTTGCTTCCTGGGTATTGGGATTACAGGCATGCACCACCACTCCTGGCTCAATGTCTTTATATCTCTGTGAATTGGAGTTACCATTTATGTGCTTTTCAGTTTAGTGTAATGGATTCCTTTAACATTTTTTTGTAGGACAGATCTATTAATGCATGTAATAAATCCATGGATAAGGCTGGTTTACCATAGTTTCTTTTAGTTTTTGTTTATCTTGGATGTCTTTATTTCTCTCTCTCTCTCTCTCTCTCTCTCTCTCTCTCTCTCTCTCTCTCTCTCTCTAGGTGGTCGTGGAGTTTGAACTCAGGGCCTCATGCTTGTCAGGCAGGTACTCTATCACTTGAGCCACTTGTCAGGCCTATTGTTATTTCTTTTGTTTCAGAAATTAACCCAATTAACCTGTTTACTGTAGGCTAGCCTTGTCTCAAGTGATAGAGCTTGTATTGGTATTTCACTTCCTTTGGTGCCATGATGGCCCACTTGACTGTGACTGTAGAAGTAGTATTCTAGGTCCAGCAACCCCTAGCCACTGTTCTCAGTGCTAGATCCTCATAGCCCATCTCTTCATCTTGGTTTTGCCACAGAAGGAGCAAGTGTGCTTGGCATACTGAATGACTGATTTTTAATTTTTTTTCACCATTTTTTTGAGGGAGGTACTGTAGGTGGGTCCCAACTTTCTCCTCTTGTCTAACTGTGTCACTGCCTCTCTTACAGTTTTTAAATGATAGTTTTGCTGAACACAGAATTCTTGGTTGACTTTCTTTAAGGCAACATTTTGTTAAGTTTTTTTGTTTGTTTATTTTTCTGCTACTGGGTCCTCATGCATGGTAGGCAAGCTCTCTACCACTGAACTAAATCTCCAACCTCTTGTGTTTCTAAGTCTAGTCTGATAATCTTTTTATTGGTGTTTAGACCATTTACATTTATTTAATGATATGATTGGGCTTAAATTTATCATTTTTTAAAATTGTGTGTGTCCCTTCTATTTTTCATTAATGTTTTCATTTTCCTGCTTACTTTTGAATTACTTGAATATTCTTCAGAATTCTTCTTAAATTTCAAACTTTACAGAAACTATTAGAGTTACTCCTTTTCCATTTCAAGTAAAATACATAAGCATTAGAGGACAATACAGGTTTTTTTTTTTTTTTAACACTTCCATTATGATGGTAGTTGTCATTTGTTTTATCTAGAGATATCAGAAATCTTATTTGTCACATTTTGCTTTCAGCTGTCAAATATATTTTTGATTCTAAAAGATGAACAATACTTTATCCAGATACTTACCATTTCGGTTTTTGTTCCTGCACTCTTTTGGCTTCCATGGTTCTTTGTATATGTTAGATTTAAGTTGCTTATCAGATATGTGTTTCGCTGATATTTTCTGCAGTGTGTGGCTTATCTCTTCATTCTCAACAATCTCTTTTATAGAGCAGCATTTGAATTAATTAGCAATTTTTAAACTTTCATAGATCTTCCTTTTGATATCGGAAGAGATCATCACCTAAGTTTCTCTCTCATATTTTATGAATTCTACAGTTCTAAATTTTACAATTTGAATTTTTTGTAAAAGGTTTAATGTTTGTCTGTAGATTTGTTTATGAATACAAATTGAATTGCCTTTGCTCCTTTGTCAAAGATTACCTGACTTCTTGGAGTGTAGCTCAAGTAGTAGAGCACATGCCTAGTGAATGAAAGGCCCTGAGTTCAAATCCTGGTGTCACCAAACAAAAGGATAACTTGACTGTATTTGTATGAGTCTATTTCTGCTCTCTGGGGTGTGTGTGTGTGTGTGTGTGTGTGTGTGTGTGTGTGTGTGTGTGTGTGTGTGTGTGTGTGTGTGTGTGTGTGTGTGTCACCAAACAAAAGGATAACTTGACTGTATTTGTATGAGTCTATTTCTGCTCTCTGGGTGTGTGTGTGTGTGTGTGTGTGTGTGTGTGTGTGTGTGTGTGTGTGTGTGTGTGTCACCAAACAAAAGGATAACTTGACTGTATTTGTATGAGTCTATTTCTGCTCTCTGTGTGTGTGTGTGTGTGTGTGTGTGTGTGTGTGTGTGTCACCAAACAAAAGGATAACTTGACTGTATTTGTATGAGTCTATTTCTGCTCTCTGTGTGTGTGTGTGTGTGTGTGTGTGTGTGTGTGTGTGTGTGTTACTGGGACTTTGAACTCAGGGCCTTCACCTTGACCCAGTCTGCCAGCCCTATTTTGTGAAGGTTTTTTTGAGATAGGGTCTTGTGCACTATTTGCTCGGGCTGGCTTTGAATCTCGATCCTCCTGATCTCTGCCTCCTGAGTAGCTAGGATTATAGTCGTGAGCCACTGGTGCCTGGCTCTGCTCTCTATTTTTGCCCACCGTCTCGTTACCTGTTCTTTCACCAATATCATACTGTCTTAATTACTGTAGCTTTATGTCACATCTGGTTGTATGGTGTTAGTCCTCTGATTGCTCTTCTTCAGTTTGTATTGTCCATTTTGTACCTTCTGTCTGCCCATGTGGCCTTTTAGAATTAGATTTTCCATTTCTACAAAATAACTTGCTGAAAGTTTAATTGGAATTGTGTTGATTCTATAGATCAGGTTGAGAAGAGCTGAAATACCTTTGCATTTTTTTGTTTCTGTGATTTCTTTCATCAGAATTCTATAATTTTCCAAAATTAGGTGTACATAGTTTCATGTATTTTTAGATTTATACCTATGTGGTTTTTTTTTTTTTTTGCAATAGTATAAATATTACTGTTTTTAATTTCAAGTTCCTACTATTCATTGTTGATATGTGAGAAGGTAATTGACATTTTTCCTTTTTGGTGAAACTGTGGTTTGAACTCAAGGCTTCATACTTCCTAGGCAGGCACTCTACCACTTGAACTAGTCTGCCAGCTCTGTATACTCATTTTTTATTTTGCATCCTTGTTAGAATTGCTTAACAGTTCCAGGAGATTTGTGTTTATTCTTTGCAGTTTTTTTTTAAACATAAGACAATCAGTGTCATCAGTAAACAATGACTTTTATTTTTTCCTTCCCATTCTTTATACCTTTTATTTCTTTATTTTGTTTTTAGATTTCCACTATGTCATGTTGAACTTCAATATACATACATGGTAGAGATCACATCTTGCCTTGCCTTTATTGTTAGTGACAAAGCTAGTTTCTCACTATTAAATATGATGTTACCTATAATTTTGTTTTTGGTGGTACTGGGGTTTGAACTAGTGCCTACTGTGCAGATGCTGCACAATTTGAGTCACATCCCCAACCCTTTTTTGCTTTAATTATTTTTCAGATAGAGTCTCACATTTTTGCCTCAGTCTGGCCTTAGACCACAATCATCCTACCTGTGGCCCCCTTTGAGGCTTGGATCACAGGCCTGCTTCTCTATGCCTGGCTTATAGATTGAGATGGAATCTTGCTAACTTTTTGTCTTGACTGGCCTTGAACTGCAGTCCTCCTGATCTCCCCTTCCTGAGTTGTTATGATTATAGTACCTGGCCTATAAATTTTTTTTTGTAGACCTTTTTTTTTAAAACCATTTTTTAAAAAGTTCTCTATTCCTAGTTTACTGAGAGTTTTTAACCATTAATGGATGTTAATGGCTTGCCATATTACAAAAATGATTTTTTTGTAACTATTAACAGTGATCTTATCATTTTTCTTCTTTAAGTAATTTCATGTGATATATTACTATAACTGGTTTTCACATGTAGAACCAGTCTTGCATCCCTGGAATAAATGCCTTTTGACTGTGGTATATAATTATTTTTATATATTGTTGGATTTGATATATGAACTTGTTTGTTTCTTGATGTGGGGGTGAAAACAGGACTTTGCACATGCTAAGCACAAGCTCTACCACTAAGCTTTTGCCCCTGGCTCCTGATTTGTAACATTTTGTTGAGAATCTTTGCATCTGTGTTCATGACAAAAAGCTAGTCTACAATTTTCCTTTGTTGTAATGTCATTATATGATTTTGGTAATAGGGTAATGTTGGCTTCATAGGATGGATTAGGAAATGTTCCCTATGCTTCTGTTTTCTGAGATACGTTGCAGAATTTGGCAGTTGTTTCTTAAATATTTGATGAAATTTACCAGTGAAACCATCTGAGTCTGATACTTTCTTTTTGGAAGAGATTGTTAGCTCAGTGTCTTCAGTTAAAAGAAAACTGGCTTTTCTTGGGAGTTTTTTTGTTTGTACCATTGGCAGTTCTTAATTTTTTGATCTCCTACAGTTCTCATACTGGGATATTGGGTTGGCAGAAAACTCCCATATGGATCCTACTACCAGAATATCCCTCCATTCCTAAGATACTTGATCTTCCTACCTTGATCCACTTTTTCAGAATCTTAGAATTGCTTTGTATGTTTTAGTTCAGGTGTCCAGGTGTAGATGTGGGGAGAGGTGGAATTAAGTGTGCTTATTCATTGTCCATCAGTCCTCAGTTTCTTTTGAAATAAATTACATGGCCCTTTTTGTAGATCAGTATTTAATGACAGTATTTTGTTCCTTCCTCTGCAGAAATCCCAAAGTGAGAAAGTAAGTGGTGCAGCTGGTAGTGTGTGCACAGGTGGGACTGAAGTGGCTACACCATTTTTCTGTATGTCTGAAGAATCTGATTCTACCACCATACTTACTAGCTTACCACGTGTTTCTTCTGAGGCTGCTGACAAGCCTGTAGATTTGTCTACTGGAAAGGAAACTGATGCAGCACCCACTAGCCAAGGTAAAACTTGATATATGTTTATCTCATACATTATGTAAGATATACCTGTATGTTGAAGATAGATTTTTGGAGGTAGATCCTAAAAACTCACTCAAAAACAAAGTTTTGAGGTATGTAAAGGAGCATAATAGTCAGAAAAATCCTACTGTCTTACCAGCAAAGACAATAAACATATTTTTATTACTAATTTGTGACCTATTTGCCTGAGCATAAAAGACAATAGTTTGCTTGCATGGCAATTTTCTGGGTGGTAGTGATTTTACTTGCCTATTGTTTGAATTATATTCTATTATATTATCATTTAAGCATATTCAGAGTGTTTTAATTATATATGAAATAGAATTATTATAATAGGGGTTTAAAATTTTTATGATACTGCTTAAATGATTTTCTCTACTGGCTTCAAAGCTTACAAACATAAATATTCCATTATAGTAACTAATGTTTACTATTGCTATCTCTTTCATTTAAATATTTTTTTGAGGTGGAGGAAGTGTCGCTGTAAATTTTGTTACATATATATCACATACATTACTTATTTATAAATCACAAATAATACATTTGTAGGCATGTTAGAGTTTTAATTTCTAGAAGAGGAAGGTTTCTTCATACCTAAAACCTCTACATTTTTAGATAAAGGAACACTGTGCAATTTCAGAAATTATGCAGCTACTCATTGTAGAATTCAGACAAGACCCCCAAACTTGTGATGACCAAATGACATATTTGGTTTTTAATGAGCTTATTTATAGCACAACTCCCACCCCCCCCCTTTTTTTTTTTTTTTCAAAAAATTCAGGTGTTTCCTAGAATCCTGCCTTTGGTTTCTTGTTTTAGGTTGTGGAAGATTTTACAGAGCAAAAACTAAGACTGTTCTTTATATTTTCTATACTAAGCTTCTATATCTAGCTTAGTATAGATAGCTCTCAACTTCTAGCATTATAGCTTTTGTAAACTTAATGATACTGATAAATCTCAGTATTGGAGGTATTTTGTAATTTACCAGAATGTGGATGCTAACACCAACCTTCCTCCTCCCATCCCCATCCCTCCTTCGCACTGTAGTATGGAAAGTCCTCTATTCTTTCTGGGTCTTGGGTAAAGCTTTGATGTCCTATTCTTTTTTTTTTTAATCCTTTGCTGTTGTGCTGAGTTGGGGTACGTGGTGGCCTTTACAAAAATTCTTACAATAATTAAATTATAATTAAATATATCATACTTGAATTCTCCCCCTCCACCATTCTCCTTTATCCCCCTACTCTAGTTCCATATGTCTTAAATGAAATAGTAAATTTTTCTTTTCCTTTGTCAGTAGAAAGCAAAACATTTGCGTTTGGATTTGGAAGTAGTACAGGACTGTCATTTGCAGACTTGGCTTCAAGTAATTCTGGGGATTTCGCTTTTGGTACTAAAGGTAAGATCAGAAGGAGAGATTTTAATTATCATACCATAGAATCATACACAACTGAAAGAAGCAGTTCTTGTGTGTTGTGATGCTGAATAAAGTGCTACCCCCATTTATGTAGTGTTTTAATAATGAAGGAGTTCTTGTCCTATTACTAATAATAGAGCCATAAGAATTTTTCTCTTAATTTAGTGTAAACCATGTTGATAGTTTTACACTGTATTTCTGTGTTACGAAATACAGATCTAATTTTTAGTTTCTGTATAACCCTGTCTTTGGGAACCTTGTTTTTTTTTTTTTTTACTATATGTACTTTTAGATTTGTTTGTTAATATTTCAAGAATCTGCATTTTTTTAAGCAGGTTGGATTTCAATATTAGGGTTGTACTAATTTTATTATGCTAAAGTAAGTTTATAATTGAGCTACTTTCTCATTTTATCAATGATTCTATTTTTAATCTATTTTGGTAACATTTCTGTAAAATAGTTTTTATAGAAATAGTTCATTATTTGTTTCAAGATTACTAGCATAAGGCTGTTCTTTATATTTTCTCATAATTTTTTTCATGTTTTTGGTTATAGTACCATTTAAATTATTCTTGTAGAAGTTGTTTTATTTGTAGAATAAGTTTTCCTGACAATATATGCTTAAATAATTAATGCAGTTCAAAATACTGTTACTCTCTTCCACAAATTTATACTTTTCCACAGCTCCTGCTACTCACAGAAACACATTAAACTTTTAGAAGTTATTTTCAGATACGATGTTACATTTAGAATATATGGCTTCAGTGATAACAAGTTTATTTTTGTTTTAACATACTAAATACCTTGGAATCAAAGAGAGTAGTAAATGAGCAAATACACCAGTACAGTGGGTATAATTGTCTGCCCTCCTCCCACCCCAAAAAAAACTCAAATGAAAATTGATGTACTGGCTAATTATTAACCTTTTAGAAATACTGTATCAGTATTATACACTAATGTGTGAAACAGACAAGGCTCACATATCTCTGGAAGGAAGTTAGTTAGTCAAGTTTTTGTGTCACTGTGACCAAAATAAACAATTTAAAGGAATAAGGATTTATTTTGCCTTGTGGTTTCAGAGGGTTCAGTATATCATGGTGGTGAAGGTGTGGTGGAACAGAGAAGTTCACATCATGGTAGACAGGAAGCAGGGAGGGCGCCACCCAAAGATACATTCCCAGTGACCTCCAACTAAGTCTCACCTCCAACCTTTCACCATTTCCCAGTAATGCCGTCACATTTTGAATCCATAAAGTGATTAATCCATTCATTTGGTCAGAACCCTTATGATATAATTGTTTCTGGAAGCAACATCAAAGAAACATTCAAAGATGTGCTTTACTAAATATCCTAGGCATCTCTTAATCCAAATAAGTTGACAGTCAAAATTAGCCATCTCAGGAGCCTTGCCTGAGTAAGTCTTCAGTCTCCTCATCACCACTGGTCATTTTTGGTGTGATTATTTACCAGGTTCTTTTTATTTCTGTTTGTTTTGCTTATTTTTTTCTTACAGTTTGACAGAAAAGTTTTACAATGAAGTAGCTCTTGGTTTTATCAGTTCTCCATTTCATTTGTATTTTTATTTAGCTTCAGATTATCTGATTTTCTTATGTTTTATGTTGAATTCTTAATTTAGTTCACTGTAGATTGCGTTTGTTAACAACAGTATTTAACCTTATTAAATGCTCTTGCAGTTTTGTTCCTACGTAAGTTGAGATTGTCAGAATAATGCTAACTTAAAACATTTATATCTGTATGTTTGGATGTATGTATTTAATTAATTTATTTTGGGAGTCCAGTGCCTTGCATATACTAAGCAAGTACTATATTACTGAACTAACCCTGGTCCTACTTTAAACATTTTTGATAATATATGTTACATTGTTGGAAATTAGATGCATTGATAAAGTAACCTAGGAGCTCAATAAAAACCTTAGCAAAAATATATCCCACGTTTAAATATCCTAATTTATTCAACAGATAAAAATTTCCAGTGGGCAAATACTGGAGCAACTGTGTTTGGAGCACAGTCAACGGATCAAGCTGGTGAAGAGGAAGATGGTAGTGATGAAGAAGTAGTTCATAGTGATGACATCCATTTTGAACCAATAGTTTCACTACCAGAGGTAAATGTCAAGGAATAAGAATTTTATGAATAGTTATTTTCTAATTTAAGCTTCCTCTTCCTGTAAGTGGCCTGAAGTGACCTGTGAAATTGTTCACTACTCTCTTGACCTGGAAAACTCCACAAAATCATGCAAATCAAGAGGTTCAAATATTCATGTTCACTTTAAGAACACTCAAGAAACTGCCCACCCCATCAAGGGTGTGCATATGTGAAAAGCCACAAAATATCTGAAAGATATGTTTCATTCTAGTCTTAAAATGGTGGAGTGTTAGGTGTGCCCAGGCCAACAGTGGAGCTGGGCACAGGGTCTGTGACTCAAAAAGAGTGCTAAATTTTTGCTGCACATGCTTAAAAGTGCAGACAGTAATTCTGAACTGAAAGGTTTAGATGCAGATTCTCTGGTCATTGAACATAACCTGGTGCACAAAGTCTCTAAAATGAGCTCAGGGTCAGATGAACCCATATGTGAGCTCCCCCCTGCCATACTGAACTGATCCTCACTGCAAAGAAGCAAGTTGTTCCTAAACCAGAAAAGGAGGTTACACTGAAGAAGAAGATATCCAGAAGAAGCTGAAGAAACACTTAATGGCACTGAATAAATTCCGCATAAAATAAATGTGATATAGATTTTGTGATGTTGTTCGTCTGCATTACTTTCAGAATATTTACAATTTGAAATGGTAGTTCACTTTGTTAGATGTCCTGCTTTTAAGTATAAATTGTCTTTGTATGTGTGTGTATGCGTGTGTGTGTGTAGTGCTGGGAATTAAATACAGGGCCTACCACTCAGCTACACCCTCAGCCTTATCTTGAAATTTTCATGTAAATATCGCTTGGTAAATTGTTTATACAATTGTTGGAAAGAAATAGCTTTTTTATATGTTGTTAGAATATCATATACTTTGTTCTCATAACATAATTCTGGGGACAAAAAACAATTACCAAACTTGCCAGAATCCTTTATAAAAAGTATTTTGTACAGTTTTTGGGAAGAATGTTTTTGGGAGATTATCCTGTGACTTTCTAACTTTAGTTAGTAGTTCTCTTCAAGTACCAGCACTTGTCTGGGCCTGGTGGATTATTCCTATAATCCTACATACTCAGGAGGTGGAAAATGGGAGGATTGAGGTTCTAGGCAGCCTGGGCAGAAAGTTAGCAGGATCACATCTCAAACCAACAAGGTGCGTGCCATCTGTGATCCCAGATTTTCATGAGGTTGTAGGTAGGAGAGTCGCAATCTGAGGCCAGCCATGAGCAAAAAAACAGAGACCCAACCTGAAAAATGACTAAAGCAAAAAAGAATGTGTTGCGGGCATGATTCAAGTGTTTGAGCTCCTGCCTACCAAGTGTGAGGCTGAATTCAAATGCCAGCACTACCCCTTCCACTCCACCCCCGCCCCGCCACCCAAATAACCTTTTTGAAACCTCTTCTGACCTCCAAAGGAAGGTATTTTATTTCCACAAGAAGTGTGAATGCTACATAGTAGAAAAATATTTAATAATAAATCAGGTCTTTACTGCCTCAACCAAATCAGGTATATTCCTAGTCCTAGAATATTATCAGTTACTGCAAAATCTGTTAATGTCATTACATGTTCTTTAACATATGTTAAAGGATTTGGATTTTTTAGTGTTTATTATGGAATTACAAGCATCAGTTTAAAGGTAATTTCGTCTCATTATAGGTAGAAGTAAAATCTGGAGAAGAAGATGAAGAAATTTTATTTAAAGAGAGAGCCAAACTTTATAGATGGGACCGAGATGTCAGTCAGTGGAAGGAGCGTGGTGTTGGAGATATAAAGATTCTTTGGCATACATTGAAGAATTATTACCGGATCCTAATGAGAAGAGACCAAGTCTTTAAAGTGTGTGCAAACCATTTTATTACCAAAACAATGGAATTAAAACCCTTGAATGTTTCAAATAATGCTTTAGTTTGGACTGCCTCAGATTATGCTGGTGAGTTTCTACCTTCAACTGTTACTTTCTCATTTATTTTTTTGGACTTTTCTGAAATCTTTAACAAAACAATTTGTAAGTTATTTTAATTTTAAGGTCTATTCCTTTTTTCAACAGATGGAGAAGCAAAAGTAGAACAGCTTGCAGTGAGATTTAAAACAAAAGAAATGGCAGAGTATTTTAAAAAAAAATTTGAAGAATGTCAACAGAATTTATTGCAACTCCAGAAAGGACAGGTGTCACTTGCAGCAGAATTATCAAAGGAGACCAATCCTGTGGTGTTTTTTGATGTTTGTGCGGATGGTGAGCCCCTAGGCCGTATAACCATGGAATTATTTTCAAATATTGTTCCTCAAACTGCTGAGAACTTCAGAGCATTGTGCACTGGAGAGAAAGGCTTTGGTTTCAAGAACTCCATTTTTCACAGAGTAATTCCAGATTTTGTTTGCCAAGTAAGTATTAGCTATATAGCACAATGAAGTCTAAAAGAGTATACTGTACTACTAACTTGGGAAATTTGAGTGTTGACCTCATCCTGTAGTTTTCTTTAGTTTTTGTGTTTTTGATGGCTCTGAGGTTTGAACTTAGGGCCTCACACTTGCTAGGCAGGTGCTCTACCACTTGAGCTACTCTCCAGCCATTTTTTGTGCTGGGTATTTTTGAGATAGGGTCTTGAGAACTGTTTCCTGGGCTGGCCTCGAGTCCCAGTCCTCCTGATCTCTGCCTTGCAAGTAGCTAGGATTACAGATGTGAATCACCAGTGTCCAGCACTGTAGTTTTCTTATGATTTGTTTCCCCACAGAATAATTAGCATCAACCACCCAACTCTGTCCTTTCCCAAAATTTTCAAACTAAAAAGATCCAAATTTCTAATACTTGAAAGCTGCTAAAAACTCAGGGTGGGGGAAAGGTAATTTTATTTTCTTTAACAATAAGTATTTCTTAGTTTTCAACTTTTTGTTTTAATGGTACTGGAGTTTGAATTCAGGGCTTACACTTTGAGCCAGATCTTTTATATGATGGGTTTTTTGAGAGAAGGTCTCATGAACTATTTTCCTGGGCTGGCTTCCAACCTTGATCCTCCTGACCTCTGCCTCCTGAGTAGCTAGAATTACAGACGTAAGCCATGGCTTCAAATTGCATGTTAAAAAAGGTTTCTATCTGTATTTTAATGTTTCACTCAGAATTTCTGTTAATTGGAATATTTTTCCCCCAGGGAGGCGATATCACCAAACATGATGGAACAGGAGGACAGTCCATTTACGGAGAGAAATTTGAAGATGAAAATTTTAATGTGAAACATACTGGTCCTGGCTTACTGTCCATGGCCAATCGAGGCCGGGATACCAATAATTCTCAATTTTTTATAACATTGAAAAAAGCTGAACATTTGGACTTTAAGCATGTAGTATTTGGTTTTGTTAAGGATGGCATGGAAACTGTGAAAAAGATTGAGTCATTTGGTTCTCCCAAAGGGTCTGTTAGTCGAAGAATTAGTATCACAGAATGTGGACAGCTATAAAATTGTTTTCCAGTAAATTTTATCCACATATGCAGTTGAATCAAAGCTTATCTGTTACAGACAATATCATAATTAATTATGTTCAGCTTTTGAAAATGGACGTTTCTAATGTATAAATGTAAAATTGCAGCTTATAGCTGTTGTCACTTTTTAATGTGTTATAATTGATCTTGCATGGTGTGAAATAAAAGTTCAAACACTGGTGTATTTCAGGTGTACTTGGTGTTTATGTACTCCTGACATGTCAATATATATTAAGATGGATAATACCAATCTTGTTAAAAGCAATAGGACTTCCCAGACTATTGAAGGAATATGATATATGCAATTTTAATTCCTTTTAACATACTTGGACTTCCTGCATGAATATACTTAACTATTTGGATAAAGGGACCATGACTTGGATAATTTTATTTTAGGTCTGAAATATATTTGAAATATAGCTGAGGTTTATTTGAAATATATTTGCTGTGCTTGTTTATGCATAGTCTCATTTATGAATCGATAGAGCCACAGACGATAGTTAACCAAAGTGCTCTTCTATAATCTTTATGCCTCCTGTATAGTTACAAATTAACTTTTAAGTAGAATACCTTCTTTTCTTAAAATATGTAGCTTCCTGTGCTCTATTGAAGGTATTAATTTTTACATTTTAAAGGAGTTGACTATGTCCTCCTTTTTTTTTTTTTTTTTTTTTTTAAACTTTTCTGTCATCTGTCTCTACTACCTCAGAAATTTCAGCTTGGTCCTGATGATAGAATTGAAATTTTCCCTGGTTATTGTGATAAAGTATGAATATTTTTAAAATGTCTAAACAATGTTCTTCGGTTAAAGATTTGCTTTATATTAGATTGTTGCAGTACCTTTTTCTGATGAATTTTGTAGCAGAAATAAAGTGACAATAACAGCCATGATATTTAAAAAAAAGTTGTGCATCTAGTTTGTTCATTGTAGACATAAAGTTAGGAGGACAATTAAAGATAAGTTCTGTAAACTCAAACTGCCATATAATTTTCACAAGTTTGATACTACAAATGTATTTGGAAATGGCTGGTATCAAAAGTTTGGAAAATGCTAAAGAAAGGAATTGTTCCTACTGGCCTATTCAATGTAGAACTGCAAAGAATCTAGTTAGAGCACAAAATTTTCTGTAGTTCAACCTTGACTATTGACTCCCTTCCGTTCTTCTGGATGAAAATACCTCATTTTGCTTAGTGAGCAAAGGCAGTGAGAGTTACTCCCTGTTGAACAATGATTTGGAAATAACCTGTAGCAAATACCTGTTCAACCACCAGTGAGATCAGGGCAGCAATGTGATGTTTGTATGAGTGATGAAATACCATTGCTAAATCCATTTGACCATAAAGTCAGATAATTGAAATAAACCTACTCTTTAACTACATCAGTTGCACTACTTAAAACTTAAAGAGAACCATAGATTACATATATGTACATTTAGTATTTAGAATTGGCTTCTTTGGAAATCTATGTATTATAAATTGATGTAAAAAGTATGTTGTAAGTTTTTAGCTGAGACGATTGATACTGTTATGATATTAGAATAAATTCTAAGTAAATGCAAATGCTTTTAAATAGACATTTTAACAGATTTTATGCTATCCTAAATTATTAAGTTTATGAGTTAAAAAACTTTAAAAACTGGCCTGACAATATGACATGTAAACTGATGCTTAAAAGTGGCATTTATAAGAACATCTTTGTGTCACGTTTCAGGAACAAACTTTGTGATTTCTGTTTGTTAATCACTAATATGGTATAAGTCCACATTGATATGTATTTTTTAAAACTGGCTGGATTTTATATTGTCTCATTAAAATCTGCTTAAATATAGAATAATGTAATTCATTGTTTATACATTTTAAATAACATGGCAAAAAGTAAATATTTTAAATAATTTTTTAGTATCTTTGCTATCTACCTGCTAGAATATTGATCTTATAATATTTGGACATTTGTGAACTTTAAAAATAGTCCAGAGAATTTAGTAGTATTTAGTCCAGACATGCACTTGACAGCCACCATTTAGACAAGAGATTACACCAGTGAAATGTATGAATGAGAGAAATTAAGTGTTGGGGGACAATTGTTCCTCAGTGTCTGTTTAGCTTTTTTGATTGCTATGCAAATGAAGATTGATCATCTACTAAGTGTAGGTGCTGAGGAAGGCTTTTTTTTTTTGGCAGTACAAGGGTTTGAACTGTGGCTGGCGGCTTGCTGCACTGTCACCCAACCACTTGAGCCACACCTTCAGCCCTTGTAATACTTTTTAATACCGTTATACCACATTTGGAAACCAGCAGAGAAACTTAAAAGAGCTAATCCTCTGCAGTGCCTGTGCCTAGCATTCAGATAATAGTCTTGATTTTTCCATGTGACAGAAAAGGCTGTTTTGTGGTTTGTTTGCTTGTTTTTAACGAGACAGGTGTATTTTAATATGTCCAAGTGCACACTTTAAAGTTATTAATGTGGGCTGGGGCCGGCCAGGCCTCTGCAGTTGGGTTCCAAGCTTTTGTGCCCAAGGCTGCACCCAGCTCAGCCCCAGGGCGTACAAGAAGCAACTTGCCCAGATACTGGCCAAAGGAAGATGTAACGTCATTATCGCTCCTTATATCATCCGCAGGGGCAAGGAGAAAAATTTTTAAAAAGACATTTAACGTCTATGTTGGGGGCATCTCGCTGCGTCATCCCCGCCCCCTCGCTCTACCCTGCAGTCGGGCTTATCCGCTGGGAAGGCGGGGCTTTAACGTCATGACGCACTTGCGCCGGGTGAGCTCCGCCCCCTTGCGACGTGCTGCGGGTTTGAACGCGGTTCCCGGGGAGACAGCTCAGGCCGTGGCGTGCTATGGAGCCGAGAGTAGTCAAGCCGCCCGGGCAGGATATCATAGTAGAGCGTCTCAAAAGCCGCTATGGACTTGGGGGCAGCTGTTCCGGCGAGGTGAGGCCGCAGGTGGGCTTCGGGTGGGCTGCTGTTGTGAAGGCGTCGTCACAGCTCCGCTTAGGATCCGGCGGGACCGTGGGTCTCGGCGTGGGGAGGCCTGGGTGGACAGCGGCTCCCCTCAGTGCGTATGCAGGAGCGCGGTCTTTGCGAAAGCACCCGAGCAGGTACCTTGGGGACTGTCAACATGCTTAGGAAAGACAAGCTTTCCCTCAGAAAGCATCCTTTCCCTTAAACTGTCCAAGGTTTACCACAAAGCGTGCTGTGACAGTAGTAGGTATTGTGGAACTTTTCCTTGGAGCGACGTGAGTGAGGCACAGACAACAGTATGATTCCTCTCTAAGAGCTTCTCATTTTGAAGTAATTTCAAACTTCCAAACAGGTGCAAGACACACACACACCCCGCCCCCCCTCCGGAATTATTTACTGGCTGCATGCTTCTTTGCCCCTAAATGTAAAAACTTCAGTTTGTCCTACGAATAAGGGCATTCTCTTAGAATCACAGTCTTAGCATTGATACCATACAGTCTGTAGTTCACACCCAAATTTCAACAGTTATCTCAATTATGTTCCTTTTCAGAAAACCTTTTTTTTCCGGTGCAGATCCATTTCAAGAGTGAACAATGCATTTGGTTGTCTCTCTTTGGTTTTCATGACAGTAATGCGTTTACGAGTACAAGATCATTCATTATTCATTAGAAGGTCCTTCAGTTTAGATTTGTCTGATGGGTACCTCCTGATTAGATTCATTATGTATTTTTAGCGGGAACACGTGAGTAATATGTAGGTCGCTCTGATGAACCAAGAGGTACATGATGTTGGATTGTCTGCTTATTGGTGATGTTAACGTTGATTGCTTGTTTAGGATAATGTCCACTAGATTTCTCCGTACTATCCTTTGTAATTAACATACAATTTGTGGGAAAATACTTTTAGATAGTAAATTCATTTGTAGTATGCAAATTAAGTATGTCTTTTCTTGTTTTCTAGCATGATTTTTCAAATTTTGATAAGGCTAAATGTAAGATAAGATCTCTGACCTCCCCAGGTAAGCCTATAGATTATTTTGTGTATTTGAGTGTTTAAAAAATTTAATTTGAGAGAGAAAATTTTTGTAAATGTTTAAAGTTACGGTTAGTGCTAGATATCTTTTTTTATTCAGTACTGGGATTTGAACTCAGGACCTCACACTTACAAGGCAGGTGCTCTACCATTTGAACCACACTACCAATCATTTTTGCTTTAGCTATTTATTAGATAAGGTCTTGCTTTTATGCTTGAGTTGACCTGGACCGCAATCCTATTTACACTTCTCATGTATGTAGCTGGGATGATCAACTGGTGCCTCCATACCCAGCTTTTCACTGTTTTCTCCTGCTGGGCTGAAACCATAATCCTCCTGTGAACCACTGTGCCTTGCAAAAATAATCCTTAAATTTAAAATGATATTTTAATTTGAAATTTGTGCCGAAACCTTTGGAGGAAAAAGAAAAGCTTAAAAAGTATATAGCTCATTAAATTTCTGAGTAGGTAATAATGAGTATCAGAGAAAGTTTCATGTATTTATCAAAAAAACTAAGATTATATGATGCTGTGACCAAATGCCCAAGAAAAGCAATTTAAAGGAGGAAAGATTTATTTTGGTTTATTGTTTCAGAGTGTATGGTCCACGGTAGCTTGGCCTCAAGTGCTTGAGCAGAACTTCACGGTGGGCATTATGGCTATCACTTCCTTGTGGACAGGAAGCAGAGAGTGAGATTGGAAAGGACCAGGGACAAGATACTTGAAAGGACCTGCTTCCAGTAACCTATCTTCCTCCTGCTAGGTCCTACCTCCTAAAGTTTCAGAACTTCCCAAAATAGTGCCGCAAACTGGGGACCAGGCATTCAATACATATCTAAATTTCTTGTCACAGATGTTTTCCTTTTCACTGGATTTAGGTAGAGGCTAAGAATTTATTAAACCAAATATTTGAGGACCAGTAAGGAAAGAAGCCTGGATTCTGAGTTTTAGTCTGGATTCTGAATTTGCAAGTAATACACCTGGTAGTTGTGCTAATTGGAAAAGTTCACATCACTTCACTAGTTTCCTAACTTGCAGGGTAGGGTTAGGTTAATGACCCCTTACTTCATGGGGTCATTGTTAGGGTCAAATAAGGTAACAATGGAAAAACACTGTGTAATCAGTAAAGTACCTTTACAAATATAAGAATTGATGCCTGTTCTGTAAGCTTGCATTAGGGAGACATACAGATAAGATGTCTTACCTTTGAGAGGCTGATGTCAGTATGTAATTTTTTTTTTATTGACAGATGATTTTGACATCTACTCCTCAGGAGATAAAGTTGGTTCAACAGTAAGATATTATTCTGATGAAAGAACGAAATGTATAACACCTTTTGGCAGTTCATTCAAACACTTAAATATGAATGGGTAAAGTACCCTGAATTCTTACTGTTACTATCCCCTCAGTATCTCAAGAAAATGAGTAAGGGAACAGGGCATATTGTTTATGTACAAGGTTTTCCTTGAGAGGAAGTATAAATAGTTTGGAACCTGATGAATACTTAAGAGACTCATTTATTAATTTTTTAATAGTTATTCTTCTGTAACCCAAATGAAGACCTTCCTTTCTTTAAAAAGAAAAAGAAGAATTGAGAACAAAACTGTAATACAGGTTTTTGGGCAGCGACTTCAGTGTCCATTGTATGTCCACTAGTGTGTTAAGCACTGTATATAGTTGGGACAGACATTGAAAGGGAAGTGATAACTACAAAATATGTATTTTACATTGTTGAACTAAGTGGAGTTTTAGCTCTGTAGAGTTAATATTTACTATGAACAAAACAATATAGAAACAATGAATGCAAAACTGAAATTAATTTTTTTAATTAAATATTGCTTCTGACACCCATATGCTCCAGAAGAAATGCTATGGGCATTCAGGAGTAAACATTTTGAAATAATGCAAAACCCTAAAGATGTATGCATATACAAAATGAAGTGTTGAGATAATTGTGGTGCAAGAAAAGACAATTGTATCTAAATTGAGCTGAAATATTTTGGGATCTTGAATTTTTTAAAACAATTTACTTCTTTGTGTACTTAAATGAGTTAACTCACTTTGAACAATTCTGGGTATGTATTAAAATATTTAAATGTTACCTGTTATTGTTACTACTATTTGAGCACTCACAAAATCTAAGTTCAAAACTTGGAAATTTGGATTGAATATAGGGGAAGGAACGTGAATATTGTTTTAAAGTAATAAGTATAAATTCATGAAAATTATTTTGTTATGTTTGATAATTTTGTATTATAATTTTTTGGCTTTTATTAATCATTTGCATATAATTCCAAATAACTTGAAGGTGGACTTTCAAAGTTTTTATACCATTGGACAGTTATGATCTAGTCTGGAAGTATATAGTCCATCATAGTAACTACAGGCCACATGTAGTTATTAGTATTTGAAAATGGGCTGGTCTGAATTGAGATACACTATAAGAGTAAAATGCACCGTGGATTTCAAAGACTTAGCAAAGTTAAGAGAATATAAAATACCTTTGTGTTAGTCAGTTTTTATTGTTATGACAGAATACCTGACAAAAGTAACTTAAAAAGAGGAAGAATTGAAGTTGGTTCTTGGTTTTAAAGGCTATAGTCCATGGTCAGCTGGCTTCATTGTTTCTGGTCCTGTGGTAAGGTAGAACATCATGGCGAAAGGGCATGGTAGAACTGTAGAACTGAACTCACCTCATAACAGTCACAGCAGAGAGAGAGAGAGAGCCCACAAGGGGCCAGGGCAAGATACACTCTTCAAGGACACATCCCATCTCCCCACTCCACCCCAACCTACTTTCTCCTTTGAGGTTCTACCTCCTAACAGCCCATCGAATATGGTCACATCAGTGGATTAAGCCACTGGTGAAGCACTAGTGCACTCATGATCCAATCACCTTTGAGCTGGGGACCACTCCTTCAGTGCATAAGCCTTTTGTGGGAACACTTCATATACAAACCATAACAGCCTTCATAATTTTTATATTTTGTGGTGAAATGGTAACAGTTGTATTGGGTTAAATAAAATAGTTAGTCTTGCCTCTTTTTTTTTTTTTTTTTTTTTTTTGGTGTGGGACTAGCGTTTGAACTCAGGGCCTATATCTTAAGCCACTCCACTAGCCCTTTTTTGTGATGGGTTTTTTGAGATAGGGTCTCACGAACTATTTGCCCAGCTGGCTTCAAACTGCAATCCTCCTGATCTCTACGTCCTGAGTAGGTAGGATTACAGTCGTGAGCCACCAGTGCCCTTTCCAAGTCTTGCTTCTTTTTATGTTTTTAATGTGCTTCCAGAAAATATTTAAGTTACCTATGTAAGTTGCGTTATATTCCTTTTGAACAGTGCTGCTCTGGAAATTTCAACTCTGAGATCATCTTTTTGGAGAGCACCTGGGATTCTAATTCTGCTTCACTTTGTACTAGTTATGTCATCTGTGAGTTATTTGACATCTTTAGGGTTCCGTTTTCTCACATTAAATATTAATTCTTTAGCTAAAATTGTAGATAATAGTACCTGTGGTATCTCACTGGATTTGGGGATCAAAATAAAGAGCTTGCCAACTGTAGAACATTCTATAGGTGTACATAGTTTTAAATTAGGTCTGTGTAACATGTGGAAAAGGTTGAAAGATGCTTGTAGTGGGTTATCGGGTTCAATGACAGTTGATTTTTACATTTTCACTCTTTACATATTTATTTTTTTGCATGTAAAAATGCTTTTTACATTTTTTCTCATTTGTTGAGCTCTTTAAAAGATAAAAGCAGTTTTATCTTTTTCAAATGCTAAACTTCCAGGTTTCTGTAATAGAATTCTTTTTTAAAGCCTAGATGATGAACTGGATTGTTTTCATGATTCGAAGAAACAAGAAGCAGAAGAATTAATTGAGAATGATCATAGAGTTAACACTTCAAAAATAATGAAACAGTCTTTTAAAGAAATTGAAAAAGGTAAAAGAAATATTCATTTAAATAGTAGTTTGTCAAGTAGAGCAAATAAAGCTTACCTCATAGTAATAATTACTGGTCCTTAGTAGTGTATTTTTGTGTTCTGAATTTTTATAAGCCATGAGTTAGTTACTATACTTGTTATTAAACTAAAGAAGAAAGGTAAACTTACTATTTTCAAGTTGTATGCTTAGACATTCTCAAAATTTACCAAAATAAGTTAATAACTGAGTACTTTTATAATGTTTTCAGTTCTTTTTAATGTCAGTGTTTGTATGAAAGTGAGGAAAAGACTAGTAGTATGTGACTGAAACTTTGAGAAAATCCTCCTGACTACTTACGATATGGCTTTCTTTACACTAAACTGTAACATCTCTATCTACCTGGCTGCATTTCATAGTTTTATCAGGAATTCAAGGAAAGAGTCCTGTTGGTGCCTGTTGCCCTTTTAGCTGTAGAATTTGGAGCACACTGTTGCCCCTTTGATATTATTCTTTGGGGAATATGTTATCTACACACATTCATTTCCCCTTCTCTTCCTTGTTCATTTCCTTTTGGTCTCAGCATTTGAGGCCGATGAAAATTAACTCAGCCTAGGCTTATACTTCCCATTACATGGTGGATTTTCCCACTGAAAAAAAAATTTTTTTTAAAGTTGAATGTATTTGAAAGTTGATAAAAGTAAGGCCAAGCATTGTTGAGTTGGGAACCTGGAGAGGCAAGTAGAACACTGACTGGGTCCTTCACTTTAAGGTAATTTGCTGACCTGAGTGAAATGAAACTTTTTTTTTTTTTAAAAATCATTTAAAAAGTTTTAATTTCCAGAACTTTTAAAATTTCAAAAAATTTTGAGTAAGAAGCTCACCATGTGACTGAAGCTGGCCTGGAAGTCACTATGTAGCCCAGACTGGCCTTGTGATCTTACTGCCTCAGCCTCCCAAATTCTGGAATTACAGGCATGTACCACCACACCCAATGAAAATTTGTATTCTTTATTTTGGTTGCTTCATGGTCTGTCCAAGATGGGGAATATAATGAGAGAACCCACCTTAAAGCTGGGGCTCCCAAGAGGGTGATGCAAGTTAAAATCACTGTAAGAGAGCATTTTATCGTCTTAATTATTAGCATAAAATAAATTTTCTTGATAGAGTGTTGGTGAGGACATAAAGCAAGAGAAACTCATCCACTGCTATTGGGAGTAAATTAATATAACCATTTTGGAAAACAATTTGGCATCACTAGTAAAGTTGAACCTATGCATATATCCTATGAGCCATCCATTTTTCTGCTAGCCAGAAAAATTTTCCCTAGAGAAACTTTTGAACATATGTAGCAGGAGCCAGGTGTATTACTGGGTAGCACCTGTATAACCAAAGCTATACATCTGTGGGAGCATGTTGTTATATACTTACGAAATAATAGGATAAAGGAGTAAGGATCATTCTGGAGACCACAGGGGTAAATTTCAAAGAACATGCTAGTATTTAAAGGAGGAGGTTTAAAAAACTATATAAAGTCTAAAAACAGGTAAAACAAGTACTTTTTCAATGTAAGTAGTGAAAATAGAAAAGTAAGGCAGTGATTAGCACTATAGTTGGGCTAGTGATTAATTTTGTTTAAAGGAAGAAAGAGAAAAATGTGATTAGGGATTTCTGAGGTAAGTTTTCATTTCTTGGCCTAGATAGTTAATACATGAGTGTTTTCATGCACATTAAAATTAAATTTCAAACAATTTCACCCTTACAGAAAAGTTGCACAAAGTGCAACTTGGAAGTGTTAACCATCTTACTATTACTGCTACATAACTATCTCCAAACTTTTTACATAATACTTTTTCCTTAAAGCAATTGTTTCTGAAGATTACCCTGAGACTATTTCAAACTTTTGCAGGTGCCCTGCCAACTAATGCCTCATTGAGACTTCGGACTGAATGTTGTAGTGATGCTAGCACCTCTCCTTTGAAACATACTAGCCATCCAAAATCTAAAGAATCTAACAAGCAGAGTTTACTTCCACATCAAATAAATCAGATTTATGATGAATTATTTCAAATACATCTGAAACTGCAGGTATGAACTAAATACTGAATTGAAAATTCAGAAATATTTGTGTTCTAAGACAAAAGTTGATTATAAGGTGTCTCATAATTTGAGATAACTGGGACAAGGCACAGTAGAACAGAACAATCTCAATTTTATAGGAATTGCCAAAAGGAAGAAAGGTAAAGTGGACTTTTTGAAGTAGGTATTCTAGACTCATTGTTTTAAATACTTACACGTAAGAAGTCTCTTGTCAACTGTCAGCCAAATTCAACTCTAAACGTTGTCCCCTATGTCCTTTGGGTTTTGACGCTAAAGGGTATAATTTATATATTTATCAAGCATTTACTAGGAGAAGGAAACAGTATATCTAATGCTCAGTTTCTGTTTGGAATTGGAAACATTATATACACGTGAAATAGATCTTTTTGAAAACCAATTATCTCATTTTGTCAAAATAATTAAAATTATTATAACCATACCATTTCAGAAAAGGTTGATTTTTGCCTAAAATCACCTGGTAAAAGTTTAGGGAAGAGAGATCCTGAGTTACAATTTAAAGAGGAGAGCAGTTGTATTATTGGTGGGTGCGTCCCAGAACAAAACACAGAGACACAGATTGCAAGCAGTAGTAAATTTTTTCTGAAAGAAAAAAAAAACTATAGGCAGGAGGAAACACCATAAGATAGAGCAGTGGGCTCTGGCCATGTGTGGGCTCTGGCCACATGGCCAGAAGCCCCAATCTTTGTTTAAAGGGAAATTTATGTTCGAAGGGCAAACAGCGGGAATCTGGCAGTCCTTTGCAGGAGGGGCTAGAGAGATTGACAGATTTGATTGATAGGAAGATGTTATATAACTTATTTTTGACTGCACATGTCCCTACCCATAATGCATTCTGTTATAATTATATGCATGAGATGCAGTTCATATATATGATGCTTTAGAGGGAGGTGTCTCTAAGGGTCATCTGAGGGCAGGTTCCTCAGGCCTCAGCACATATGCTAGCTCCAGGACTTTCCCTTCTGTACAAGCATCTTTTATCATAATGTAGTGGCTACTGAGTTAACCACAAAAAGGGGGTCCAAGGACATTCCCAACGAGATGTTTCTTGAAAAGGGCATATCCTAAGTGGGACTTTTATGACATTTTATCTGGTCAGTCTCCACCGCCTGTACTTTTCTGTTTTTTTGCCTCATTTTTCCGCCTGAGAGACATCCCCAAAATCTTTTGGGGAATAGGAATGGAAGTCTCTTTTTATTTTCAAGAGCTACTATCTGCTGAATAAGGGCATAGTCTTGCCTACCTGAGGATCATGGAGCTCTGCCCCTATTTCTTTGGTTGGACAAGAGGATGACAAACTTAATCCTAGGGACAATTTTCATGTTGAAGATCCCAAAGCTGCTGGGTCAGTTGATCTAATGTCCAGAAGGTTTCTCATTGTGGGGCAGGTGGTATTGGAGCTTGTTTTATGAGTCCAAAAGGAATTGGGTAGAGGTTTTGGCAGTAAGTGGTATTTAAGTTGGAGCACCATTTGTATAGCCTGAATGTGAGAGACTACAACTCAGGCTAGAGCATTTAGGATGCGTGGGCCAACAGTAAAAACAAAAATTAAAACTAAGGGTCCCAAAAAAGAGAAGCCACATAACCATGACCAGATATTTTTCCAGGAGAGCCACCCTTGGGTAACCCTATCCCTTAGCTTAAAAGTGTGGTGGGTTAATTTATGAGTATTAGTTTGGGCCTGTCCTGATTTATTGACTCAAAAGTAAGAGTCTTAACCAAGCATGGCACAAGTTCCCGCTTGGGTGGCAGTGATCATACAGAACCACTGCCACAGAGAGTCAATTTGATTTGGGGAAAATTTTACTTGGCTGCAGGACCGTGGGGTATGAGTGAAGAATCCCCATTGTTGTATGAAAGGGAAAGAAGTTAGAGTCAAAAGTTGTATTTTATAGTAGAGTTTGAGAGATGAGACTGAGGAAGGCATAGAAATGGTCAGATGATCCACATTAGGAATCCCCTGAGGGGGAGAAGCCTAGTGATGGGAGCCCATTTGTATTGAGGCAGTAAGGTAAAGGGAGTTCCCTAAGGTGTATCCATGTGGTTATAGAAAACTGGAAAGGGCTGAGGAGGAGAATTTCATGCCTAGGAAAGTCATAGGTCACCCTAGAATAAGGACATGAATTTAAGACTTGGAGAGATCCCCAGAGCAGTAGTGATGGGGTTGGAGAATAATAGAATAAACGAGGTGATACTGTGAGACATGGTCCGTACAAGGTCATGGAGCAGGATGGGTATCACCCAGAGTGTGTCAAGACAGCAGACTGGATCTCCTATGGACTTTTATCTCTAACTGGAGATTTAAAAAAAAATTTATATATCTTATTTTTGTGAAGATTGGGGATAATAGTTTAGTTAGGCAAGAAAGCAGGAGTGCAGTGAAGAAGATGAATAAAAGCAGGATGACTCCCAGACCCTCGGCTAGGGTCATAGCCAGAAATTATTATTTATCTGCCAAAGCAAGTCTCAGTTTCTTGAAAAGAAATTTCAAGTCTTTTACAGGTTTACAGGCATAAGTGGTCATGGGGCTGTCTTTGCTACACATTTCAGGTGAATGTGAACTGATTTTAGAACTCAGTGGCTAAAGGGATACTAAAAACATTAGCAAGATCCAAAACAGCATTTTAAGATCACATTTACATAATAGTGATAATGGCTTTCCTGCTGGGTTCTATAACTTTTAGCCACAGGTTTTTAATCCAGGTTTACAGTAGCAAACTGAGTCTTCTCCCATGGAGAATAAAGGTACAACAACACCTCCCAAATCTTCCACCTTGGAAAGAAAAAGCCATAGTATATTTTAGATAAAGTCTAAAGGGTACCTTCTCGATTGAGTCATTCTAGTCTAAGAAGCTCCTAGGGCATGATAAATTAAATATTCATTCAAGATGTATGTAAAAATTCAAGAATTTTTAAAGCAGGAGCATTATATAAGCTAATGTGTGCTTACATGAATGGATTAGAAGGATATAGGTTTGGAATTTGGGAGACTAGATAGGATTTTACTCTCTAAGTGAAAGATAATGGTGATGTGGACTGGGCTAGTGACAGAAACAGAAGTGAATTAACTGGAAATTCAGTGTATAATAAAATTGTGTGGATTTGGTGTAATGAATTGGATGAATTATGGAGAGGTTAAGGTCTAAGCTGGTTCTTAAATTTCTGGGTTGTGTAGCTTGAAGAAACAGTGAATTTCAGGAGAGAGATCAAAATTTTAGTTTGAAAAGGGTTGGGTTTGGCAATTAATCCATATCAGCCTGGCAATCAGAACATAGATCTCAGTTGAATATCTAATTTAGGATTCATTTACTGTATTAGTCAACTTTCTGTCACTTAAGCAAATACTGAAAAATCAACGTATAAAAACAAAAGGTTTGCTCTTTTGTTTGTTATGGTGATTGCACACTTGGAGTTCCAGCTGCTTGGAAGGCTGAAAATCATTCAAGCCTATGAGTTCGAGACCATCCTGGACAACATAGGAAGACTCCATTTCAACTGAAAAGAAAGAAAAAGGTTTATTTTGACTCACAGTTTTGGAGGTTTCAGTTCATGACTGATTGACCGCATGCTTAGCATCTATGCATGGCAGCACATCCTGACAGAAGCATGTGACAGTACAAAACTGTTGCTCACCCTCATGAACAGGAAGCAAAAGAGAAAAGGGGTTCCAGGGTTTGTGCCATAATCCCCTTTAAGGGCATACTCCCAGTAACCTAAAGACCTTCCATAAGGACCTATCTCTTAAAGGTTCCCATCCCTCCCAATTATTGCACACTCAGCAGCTAAGCCTTTTCATACATGAGATTTTGAGGGACATTCAACATGCAAACTATATATGGGTTAGTATTTTAAGTTGTCGGTAGTAGCTGAGATACAGAGAGAAGGTGAAGTGTGAAGTCTGATGATACCTTGGATTAAGATGAGTCCTTAAAAATATAGAAAAGTGGGATCAATAGGACTGAGATTGTTTGGATTTAGGAGGTGTGCAGTAGGTTTTCGTCAAGAGCACAGGCAGATTTAGTTTTGGGGCAATTGGATAAACCTTGCTGCCTTTTGCTGAGATAGAAAACTTGAGGAGAGAGTATTATTTGGTTTTTAACTTGTAACTCATTAATTTTTAAATGTATAATTAACTTTGATATAGTCACAAAGTTGTGCTTCCATAACAAATTTTAGAATATTTCATCATCCCCAAAAGAAACTTTTCTACCCATTAGAGACCACTACACATTGCCCCCTACTTCCCTTCAGCCCTAGACAACTACTAATCTCTCTTTCTCTGTAGATTTGTATATTCAAGACATTTCACATAAATGGAATCATACAATATGTGGTCTTTTATCTCTGTCTTCTTTCACTTAGCATATTTTCAAGGTTCATTTGTGTTGTATCTTGTATTAGTAAGTACATGCCTTTTATTGCTAAATGGTACTCCATTATATGGATGTACCACATTGTCCTTATCCATTTATTAATTGCTGGACATTTGGGTTGTTTCTACTTTTTAGTTATTATGACTAATACTGCTATGCACATTTGTTTTTAAATTTTGTGTGGGTATGTGCTTTCATTTTCTTGGGTGTATACCTATAGTGGAATGGCAGAATCAGATAGTAACACTGTATTTAACTTTATTGAGGAAGAAGTACCACGAGACTATTTTCCAAAGTGACTGCACCATTTTACATTTCCACCAAAAGTGTGTGAGGCTTCTACTTTTTCCACATCTTTGCCAACACTTATTTTCTATAATTTCAATTCTAGCCCTTCTAGTAAGTTGTGAAGTGGAACACACAACTTACCACACTTTTATTGTGGTTTTGCTTTATATTTCCCTGATGTCTAATTGAAGTCAGTTTGGGGCATGTTTATTTTGTGCTATCCAAATGCATGGAGGTAGTAATGTTAAATAGGCTGTTTGAACTTGTGTTTGGAGCTTGAGAGGAACATTTAACACACACAGTAATTTTAGCCAGTTAGGGGATGTATTCAAGAAGAGAGTATGAAGAATGAAGGAGGGGGAATGGCTTTAGCTTGTATCCTGACTTATCCCGATTACTGTAGAAATCAAGGGACCACAAAGAAGCAAGCCTGCAAAGGATAATGAGAAGCCATGGCCAGAGAAGGTGGTAAAAAAATCAGGAGAATGTGGTTTTATTGAAGCTAGTAAGATTTTTTTTTTTTTTTTTTTTTTTTTTTGGTGCTGGAGTTTGAACTTAGGGCTTAATATTTGCTAGGCAAGTGTTCTACTATTTGAGCCCACCCGCCAAGCCCTAGTGAGAACATTTTAAGTAGGAAGAAAAGGGTCAGCTGTATCAAATGCTGCTGAGAGACTCAATAAAACAAGGATTGCAAAGTGACCTTTAAATTTTGTAATGGCTAGAAAACAAGGATTTCAAAATGACCTTTAAATTTTGTAATAGGTAAGTCATTTCAGTAGGGGCACGTGGGCAGAAGCCAGATTAAAATGAACTGAGTACTGATGTGGAGGTAAACAAGAGAGCTCAGCAAATGTAGACAGTGTTTTAAGGAAGTTTAGTTGTAGAGAGGAGATAAGTGGGGGCCCAAAGAAATTTCATTTCAGGTGGATGGGAAAGATATTTTAGAGAGATAGTGCAATCTGCAAAAGAGAACTTAACACAATGAGATCCTGATCCTACCATTGTGTTGTAATTTGAGGGAAGGAGAAAAATGTGTGTATGTATCTTGTAGTCTGGACTGATGTTTCCTTCTGCTGTATGGTTTTCTCTATAAAGTGAGAGACCAGGCCCTTCACAGAGAATGACATAAGTAGGTGTAATGTGTTCAGAATTAGGTAAGAGTAGAGAAGGCTTGAAATAGATACTGTACAGAGTGGGGGAGAAAGAGCTATGAAAATATAAAAAAAGATTTCTGGACTGCATTGAGATCTGAGTAGAGGATTGAGACTATAGTGTGTGATCTTCTGCAGTAGTATTTAGCTGTGTTATCATCTGGGCAGGGAAAATGATTAGTGAATTAATACATTAATTGTCTTTTAGCCCAAGATGATAGAAAGGCAACCAGGTAAAGGAATTTAATTCTGTATAGTATTTTGGACCCCAAAGTCATTATGATGGAATCTTGCTGTAGTGTCACATGATTTTATAGCACATAGAGTTTCTGTGCAGGTTTACTTGCTATCCTAATCCAGCTACTACTGTAACCTACATTTTCCTTAGGTAGAGAAGTACTGCTAAAAGCCATTTGATTGAACTACAATGTCAGTGGATAAAAACATAATTTGCACAATTTGTGAGCGTACTTTTAAAAACCATTTAAATCTTGCATTATGATTCAGTGTGAAACCACAGCGCAACAGAAATTTGCTGAAGAACTTCAAAAACGAGAACGTTTTTTAGTAGAAAGAGAACAGCTGCTTTTCAGACATGAAGATGCCTTGAGTAAAATTAAAGGTGTTGAAGAAGAGGTTCTTACAAGATTTCAAATTGTGAAAGAGGTAATTATACAGTGTTTGTTTTTAAATTAGTATAATTTCTTAGATTCACTTATTATTAACATTTTGCCATATTTGCTTCTTTCTTCTTCCTGTCCTCTTTGCATACTTATCCCCACACGTCTTATTTTCTGAACCACTTGAAAGTAACTTAGAAAAATTATGTTATAGTATTTTAGCCTGTGTCTCCTAAAAATAAAGACATTCTCCATACAATTATCATATCAGAAAATTAATACTAATTGGAAAATATAATTTATTTATTTATTTTGTTAGTTCTGTCTTTCTTTTTTTTTTATTGTTTTATTATTCATATGTGCATACAAGGCTTGGGTCATTTCTCCCCCCTGCCCCTACCCCGTCCCTTACGCCCCACTCTGCCCCCTCCCTCTCCCCCATATCCCCTCAATACGCAGCAGAAACTATTTTGCCCTTATTTCTAATTTTGTTGTAGAGAGAGTATAAGCAATAGTAGGAAGGAACAAGGGTTTTTGCTGGTTGAGATAAGGATAGCTATACAGGGAGTTGACTCACATTAATTTCCTGTGCGTGTGTGTTACCTTCTAGGTTAATTCTTTTTGATCTAACCTTTTCTCTAGTTCCTGGTCCCCTTTTCCTATAAGGTATCTGCTTTAGCTTCTCTGTGTTAAGGGCAGCAAATGCTAGCTAATTTTTTAGGTGTGTTACCTATCCTCACCCCTCCCTTGTGTGCTCTCGCTTTTATCATGTGCTTAAAGTCCAATCCCATTGTTGTATTTGCCCTTGATCTAGTGTCCGCATATGAGGGAGAACATACGATATTTGGTCTTTTGGGCCAGGCTAACCTCACTCAGAATGATGTTCTCCAATTCCATCCATTTACCAGCGAATGATAACATTTTGTTCTTCTTCATGGCCGCATAAAATTCCATTGTGTATAGATACCACATTTTCTTAATCCATTCGTCAGTGCTGGGGCATCTTGGGTGTTTCCATAACTTGGCTATTGTGAATAGTGCCGCAATAAACATGGGTGTGCAGGTGCCTGCCTCTGGAGTAACCTGTGTCACAGTCTTTTGGGTATATCCCCAAGAGTGGTATTGCTGGATCAAATGGTAGATCAATGTTTAGCTTTTTAAGTAGCCTCCAAATTTTTTTCCAGAGTGGTTGTACTAGTCTACATCCCCACCAACAGTGTAAGAGGGTTCCTTTTTCCCCCGCATCCTCGCCAACACCTGTTGTTGGTGGTGGAATCTTAGTGTGGTTAGTGTGGAATCTTAGTGTGGTTTTAATTTGCATTTCCTTTATTGCTAGAGATGGTGAGCATTTTTTCATGTGTTTTTTGGCCATTTGAATGTCTTCTTTTGAGAAAGTTCTGTTTAGTTCACGTGCCCATTTCTTTATTGGTTCATTAGTTTTGGGAGAATTTAGTTTTTTAAGTTCCCTATATATTCTGCTTATCAGTCCTTTGTCTGATGTGTAGCTGACAAATATTTTCTCCCACTCTGTGGGTGTTCTGGAAAATATAATTTATAATCACCATCCACTTTCCCAGTTGGTCTCCAAAGTGTCCTTTATTGTTTATTTGTTTTGTTTTCTGATCAATCTTGCATTAATTGTTACATCTTTTTGGTTTCTTTGATTCTGTAGTACTCATCCTCCCTTTTTTTTTTTTTTGAGACTTTTCTTCGAAGAGTCCAGGTTAGCAGTCTTGTAGAGTATTTCACATTGTGGATTTGAATGATTGTTTCCTAACAATAATATTTAAATTAAATATTTTTGGCAAGAATGTTATATATGTGACATAATATACTTCTTCATGTCAAGAAATTTATTGTATGCATAGAGTAAAATTCAATCCATTTGTTGTACCTTTCTGTGTTTTGAAAAATGCATACAGTTTTGTAATCACCATCATATTGAAGATGAAGAGTAGCTGCAGTACCCAAAAAATTTGCGTATGCTCCTTTGTAGTTTTCCCTTTCCCTATCCTTAGCCTTTGGCAACCTCTGATCTATTTCCTGTTCCTACAGTTCTGCCTTTTCCAGCGTGTTAAGTAAATGGGATCATTTCATGAATTTTCTTTTACTTTGGTTTTTCAGTAGCAGTTTTGTGATATATCTTGGCATGTTTTTCTTTGAATTTATCCTTTATTTGTAATTTACTATGCTTCTTGAGTTCATAAATTTACGTGTTGCTAAATTTTTCAGCTGATATTTTTTAAAATATTTTTTTCTACTCCAATTGTATTCTCCTCTCCTTTTGGGTTTCCAGTGACTTTTGCTATACAAGATTTCTAAGGCTCTGTTCTTTTTTTCCCATCTTTTTCTTCTTTGTTCTTCAGACTGGGTAATTTCTGTTGATCTCTCTTTAAGTTCACTGTTTCTCATCTCCATGTTGCTTGAGCCCATTTAGTAAATTTTTTGTTTCTTGTAAAGTTATAAAATTTTCAACTATGTTCTTTTTTTAGTTTTGATTTTCTTAAAAGAATTTTTGTCTTTACACTTAAATTCACCTAATCAAGCGTATTTAAAAAACTGACATCTGGGTCATCTCAGAATTGACATCTGTTGATTATCTTTTTTCTTGAGATATACTTTTGTTTGTTTCTTTTACTGTCCAATGAGTTTTGTATTGTATTTGAAATCTTTTAGATATTATGTTGTATAGATTCTGTGTCCTGTTACAATACTCTAGAGAATATTTTTCTGTCTCTCTGTATCACTTTAGCATTTATTCAGCCCAACTTCCACAGTTCTTTCTCAGCTTATATGGACAGTGATTCCCATCTCAGTTGAGCTTTCACAGCTTTTGCAGTGATGCTTTGGAGTTGTCTTATGCATGTGCCACTTAAGGGGCTTAGTCTGGGACTCTGGCAACAGTTTGTGATCTTAATTTCATTCTCTAAGACCTTGCTTTGCAGGTTTTGGTCTCCCCTGTGCCTGAGCAACTCAAGGGTAACCCTAAAGTGTACAGCGCCAAACACCAAAGCGAGAAGGTCCTCTTTGTGAGTCTTCTCTGAGATTCTTCCCACCCTGCCTTCCTGGTTTCCCTGCCAGAAAGACTGGCTTTATCCTATAGTTCCTATGGAAGTTTTTGCTCTACTTCTCCATCCTGGGAGCTACCCAGGGGCAAAAACATTGAGAAAAAAGGAAAAACAAAATCCCAGGAAACTTAACTCCTGAGCATTTGCTTTTCCAAATTTTCATACCTTTCTACAATTCTCTACTTTTTGTTTTGACGGTAATTGAGTAGTTGCTTTTTTGTGTTTTGTATAGGGTTTTTAGTTGACATCAGTAGAAGTAGAGGGTAATAGATTTATCTTGAAATGCTAGAAATGGAATTCTCATATTGTATGTTTTTAATATCTTCTAGATGTAGAAAATTAGACAACAGAAGCATTAAACTAGTTAAGTAACTAGTTAAGTTACTTAAGGAATCATTTAATGTAGCAGTAAAATTATATAAAGCTAATTTTTTCAAATTGGATCTTTTTCTCAGCTAGGAAATAAATGCTTAGATTCTCAGGTCTTTTTTATTTTTTTCTTCTCCAGTGCTATACATTGAACCCAGGGCATTACACATGCTAATAAGCAAGTGCTCTACCACTGAACTATATCTCCAGCCCTTGATTTTTTTTGAGACAGAGTCTCAGAATGTAGCTCTGGTTGATTTGGATTTCATGATCCTCCTTCCTTAGCCTCACAAGTGCTAGGATTGCAGGGGCCCACCAACACAGCCAGCTTTCCATGCTCATCTTGTTATTGATTCTCTGTCTTTAGATTTTTTCTGTTATCCTTACTGAGAATAAAGAAAACTGGTTTATTTTAGGCAGGTGCTTTTCCACTTGATCCACAACACAGCAAAACTACTTTATTTTAGTATTTTATGTGATTACTTGCAAGAAGGAAATTAACTCAATGCTCTGATTCCTATACAAACATGCTTGCTTTAATAGTTTTATTATTTATTCTCAATGAATAAAGCTTTGATTCCTGTAGAAACGTGCTTGCTTTAATAGTTTTATTATTCTCAATAAATAAATTGAGAATTTAAGGTGAAGGAAATAATTATTCATGTCTTATGTCTAAAATATGCTAACTCATTTAAATGTTTTAAAGGGAGAAGTTGAGTTGAATTATTGCTGAAACTGGTTAAGGAGAGAATCAAATAGGGTGAGGCTCAGGGAAATTTTAGCATGTATTTAATATTTTTTGAGATGTAAAGCTGGCATCACAAATTTTAGCTGCTTTATGGACATAAGAAATTACTTTGTTCTAAGACTAGAATATTTCTTGCATTCTTAAAGAGTGATATAAAAGTTACATTGTAATCTATGATGGATCAGAAATTCTTTGTTGTTTTATTATTTTATATCAAGTGGAAGATATTTCAGTGACTTTCTATGAGTAGATTTTTCTAGCAGAAGCAAAAAATAGACTTATTGTTACTTAATTTGTATGATAATGTTTTCACTTTTTACAAATGCCTCCCCAAATGTTTTGTTATTTCTTTGATTGATTACACAATTTTTATAAATTATTTGCTACAATAGTCACTTATGCTTAAGTACACTGATTAGTTTTTGTGATTGAAGGAGTTACTCTTTTTAATTAATTTATGTTCAATAGTATTGGATTGTTTGTGGGCTAAGGATCGAACCCATGACTTCACACATGCTGAGCAGCGCTCTATCTCTGACTTATACCCACAGCCTTGCTCTAGCATTGCTGATATGGGATCCTTACCTAATTTTTAAATTCTTCTTTTTTTTTTTTTTTTTTGGTGGTACTGGGGTTTGAACTCAGGGCCTCACACTGCTAGGCAGGCACTCTACCACTTGAGCCACTCTGCCAGCCCCTTACCTAATTTTTAGATCAGACTTTTTTTCCCTCCTAGCAACATGATGCAGAAGTTGAACATTTAACTGAAGTTCTTAAGGAAAGGAATAAAGAAAGCAAGAGACTGAGATCCTCTTTTGATGCACTAAAAGAATTGAACGATAACTTAAAAAAACAGGTAAGGCCTGTATTAATATGCATTAAATTATAAGACCTTTTAAAATTGTATTTAATAAATTATCAGTCAATCTTAGAACATATTTTTAGCTAGGAAAATTTTGATTAAATTTGTTAGCTTTATAAAAAATACTTATAAATATAGTAAGATTTTTTTTCTGGGACAAGTCACTTATAACAAGATACTCTTAAGCTTTTGCTTCCTGTTTTTCATCTTGTTTTGCAAACAACTGGTATGTTTGGTAATAGGGATTTTTTTTTTTTCCCTAGGTACTGGTGTTTGAACTTAGGATTTTGTGCTTGCTAGGCAAGCATTCTACCAGTTGAGCCATGCCTCCAGCCCCTGAAATTTTTTTAAAAATATAAGAGAACTAGTAGATTAAAGACAGGCAAAAGGAAAAAAATCATAACTTGAGAATTAATAATCTTGTAGCCACTGATTTCTGGCTCTACTACTCACTGTAACTGCTGTTACACACACCGCATTTGTTTAGTGTTCAGTTATTTTTTTGAGTGCCTACTATATGCTGGGTATTATATTAGACTGAAGTCTTTACATTACTTATAGTTTTTTTCATGAGTACAGAGTTGTATGACATTACACAATAATTATTTGATATAATTTAGGTCAATATATAATAAAATTGTATAGCAGGAATATTTTTGTGAGTTGTGACAATTTTTTTCCTTCCTTTTGCTAGTTTTTTGCTGAAGAGGTGAAAAGAGAGAGTATGGTTGAAGAGAGACTGAAGAATGGTTATGTGTGTATTTGATTGTATGGGGAGGAGAAGTAGCTGGGCAGAAATTGGGCTAAACTTAGTCACTTTTAAAATTATAGTATTAGACTGGGAGACATAATGGATTTTAAAATATAGGTAAGTTTAGACTTTTCAGAGGCTTGCCTGTTTCTGCTTTGATTTACTGTTGTATCTACTTGTTATAACCTTCCTCCCTGGCAGTGATGCCTGTGCCCCCTATTTTTTTTCACGTGACCTAGGTTTTAGGCTTCCCTAAATTCATTTATGGCCTCCCTCAATTGGACTATGACCTTACCTGACAGTTGTCTGTCAAGAAGCCTTCCTAATTCCTGGAGAGATAACTTTTTACCATTACAAGCTCAATCTTGCACCCTCTTATAAGAAGGGTTTCTTTACTTGGGAATTTAGATATATTGTTTCCCATACCCATCTCAAGTTTCTGTAATTATTAAAAGTTTTGCCGAGTATGTGGTGATTGAGTGGACATATGCATTACTAAGTGATTGAACTTTTTCATAATTGGATTTTTTGATAATTGAAAGAGTTTGGGAAAAATTCTTTGGTACTAAGAAGCAGAATTTTTTTTATGGATACTTTTTTTAGAATACATCAGGGTCCAGCAAACTTTTTTTTCTTTTAAGGACTAGATAGTAAATATTTTGGGTTTTGTGGGTCATATGGTCTCTGTCCCAGTGCTCAACTGTGCATCAATAGTTATTAAGTATTGCCATGTTCCAGAATGACTTTATTTGTAAAAATAAGCACTGGGAAAATTTGACCTATAGACCCTAGTTTGCCAACTTCTAAGTTGATAAGTAGCATATACTTTGAAATTGGTGAGTAAAAAGTTGTATTATTTCTGACTGACTTGCATTATGATTTGTGACACCACTAGCTATAAATTTGCTCTAATAAAAATAACCTAAAAGCATTTCATTTTAAGTCTTGCCAAGTTGAGGAGATGAAGATTAATGTTTAAGACCCAATCAAGGAAGAGAGTTACAGTGAGCATCTCAGGATCATAGTTTTGAAAGGAGTAGGGTTCCTTTTTAGGAGCAGGCAAACTAGAGGTAGATAAGAGCCTTCAAACTGAAACCTGGCCTTGATTGAGCTCAGTTCCTGATCTGATTAAGGATTTGATCTGATTTGAATATGCACCAGAGGAAAAGATAAGCCCTTTCTGGAAGAAGATATCATATCTGGCCTTTAAGTGTTTTTTTTTTTCCTTTTTCTTTTATTATTCATATGTGCATACAAGGCTTGGTTCATTTCTCCCCCCTGCCCCCACCCCCTCCCTTACCACCCACTCCGCCCCCTCCCTCTCCCCCCCCTCAATACCCAGCAGAAACTATTTTGCCCTTATTTCTAATTTTGTTGTAGAGAGAGTATAAGCAATAATAGGAAGGAACAAGGGTTTTTGCTGGTTGAGATAAGGATAGCTATACAGGGAGTTGACTCACATTGATTTCCTGTGCGTGGGTGTTACCTTCTAGGTTAATTCTTTTTGATCTAACCTTTTCTCTAGTACCTGTTCCCCTGGCCTTTAAGTGTTTTATATGTAATGTTTTTCATTCTGTAAAGTAATCAAAAGACAGAATGACATGACTAAATGTGAAGAAAACAAAACCAAGATTATGTAACTATATCTGCAAGTGATCCAGAATTTGGAATTAATAGACTTTAAAATAAAGGTTAGTGTGTTCAAGAAAGTAGAGGAAAAAAAGATTAAGAGAATTTTTTGGAGGATGAACTATAAAAAGGAATGAAATTGAAATTCTAAAACTGAAAAGTACAGTAACTGAAGTTGAGAACTTACTGTAAAAAAATGGGTATAAGGGGTTGGGGATTGGCTTAGTGGTTGAGCACTTGCCCATATGCTCAGGGCCCTAGGTTTGATCCCCAGCAGTAGCAGAACAAGAAAAAAAATAAATGAATAAATTTAAAAAAAAGAGAAAAAAGAATGAATATAATAAAGGTGAGACACAGCAGAAGGTAGAACTAGCAAACTGAAACAGTTACATGCAAAGTCTGCATTTTCTACATTTTAAGGCATTGAGTGAAGAAAGAATGGATAATTCAGAAAAGAACACGTGGGATATAGTTAAAAAGTTTAACAAATAGGGGTTCTAGAAAGAGAATATGGTAAAAGTAAAATATGTAAAGATGTAATAACCAAGAATTTTCCAAAACTGGTTAAAGAAACTTTAAGGTGCTAGGAACTGTTGCTAAGCATAAAGTTTGAAGAAAACTATGCAGAAGCACACTATTTTAAATCTGTTAGAAACTTAACATAAAGTGAAGTTTAAAAGTGGTTAGAGGGAAAAAAAAAACCTTATCTTCAAAGAAGAAGCAATAAAATTGATGTATGACCTAAGGAGAAATTATTACTTACCTTAAACGTAGAACAGAAGAAGGGAAAACCTCCCTTGATTATGTGAGTCCAGCATAGCCTTCAACCTAAACTTTGGTGTTATAAAAAAGGAAAAATTCAGGGCTAGAGGAATAGCTCAAGCAGTAAGAGCACCTGCCATTTATCAGGAATATGCATTTAAAAATACTAGCAAACTAAATCCAGTGACTCATAAAATGGGTGATACAACTAAATATGATTTGGTCTAGGAAAACATGGTTTAACATGTGAAAATTAACACATCTGATAGAAAAATCATATAATTTCTACAGATATAAAATTTAGCAATTTTATATGCTAATAAGTAGTAATGGAAGAGAATTTCTTATTCTAATAGAACACCTACAAAAAAAAACTAACAACAAAATCATACTTTGGTAAGTTGTTAAAAACATTTCCCTTGCAGATTAGAATAAAGAAGTAAAGGGGCTTGTGTCACCGCTTCTTTTGAACATTGCATTCAAAGCTTTAGTGCAATTAAAAAATATAAGAATTAGGAAGAAATCATAATTATTCACAGATGACAGGATTTATACTTTTTTACTTAGGTATCTGAATGAGTATATAGACAAACTCAGAATTAATAAGCAAATTTAAGCTGGGCATGGTGGTCTGAGCAAAAAGTTTGAGAGACCTCATCTAACCAATAAAAGCTGGGTGTGGTGACATACATCTGTCATCTGAGCTATGTGGGAAGAATAAATAGGAGGATTTTCATCCAGGCCAGCCCTGGCATAAATGTGGGACCCTATCTGAAAAGAACTAAACCCAAAAAATGCTGGAGGAGTGTGGTTCAAGTGGTAGAGTGTCTCCCTAATAAGTACAAGGCCCAGTACTACCAGAAAAAAAAGGAAAAACAACAAATTTAGCAAAATCTCTGGTTGTAAATTCAATACAAAAAACAAGTACATTTCTATGTACCAAAGACAGTCAAATAGTAAGTGCTTTTTATTGAGAAAATCATAGGCATCTTCCCGAAGTACCATAGTAACATCAAAAATCATTGGCTACCCAGGAACAAATCTAAAGAAATATATGAAAGACATCTCTACTGAAAGCTACAAAACATTATTAAATGAAAATAAATTGAAGACTATGTTATATTCATTGGTGAGAAGGATCACTATTGTACAGATATAAGTTCTTCCCATTATTTATATACTTATTATAATTCCAGTAATAACTCATTGCAATGTTTGTATACTTTTCAATAAAAGTTTTACTTGAAAAGCATTTCAAATCAAAGTATATGCTTTTAAGATTTCAGAAATCTTGCACATTTTATATCGTTTTATATCTAAGAACGATGTAAACTTCCTTAGATGCTATTAAGGTTTTAGGGGGAAATGCTGATTTTAGCTGTGACCTACTTTAATTATTTATGAGTGCTGCCTCTGTTTTGTAACTTTGCTTGGTTAGATAAACCAGATATGTTAATATATTGAGAAACCCTTAGTATGTAAGCAATTTAAGGTTTGAAATGTCTAACTTTTTCCTCCCTTAGCTAAATGAAGTAAGTGAAGAAAACAGGAAGATGGAAATTCAGGCTAAAAGAGTTCAAGCTCGTTTAGATAATTTACAGGTAAGTTGCCAGCTCGCTTCCCAAGTAAAATTTTAAAATAATTGGCTTTGAATTTGTTTACTTCTCACGTAGTTGTTCTTTAATTCATGGATATGTACTGTTGCAGAGAAAGTATGAGTTTATGACAATACAGAGATTGAAAGGAAATTCCCATGCTGCTCATGAAGTAAAAAGTTTAAAACAAGAAAAAGTACCAGTTTCAAAAACTTTAAAGGTATGATGTGATTGAAAATTTCTTCAGTGGAAAACTAGGAAATTTTCTTTCATTCTTTAATCTTTTTGTTTCCTTTAGTAAAAATTCTCTTTGGTGTGAAAGGATTCACTATAATAATTCTTTGTGTGCATATGTGTGTTTTACTGGGGTTGGAACTTAGGATCTCATGCTTGCTGGTAGGCACTCTACCACTTGAACCACACCCCAGTCCAGATTCACTAGATTCACTATAATAATTCTTTACAGAGATGTATCTCTAGAATATTTTAAATATACTTTTATGTACAAAAACAAAAGTATTTCAGTAAATGGTACTGGGGTTTGAGCTCAAGGCCTTGCACTTGCAAAGGCAAGTACTCTTACCATTTGAGCCATTTCAGATAAGGTCTCATGACTTTTACCTGGGCAGGCCTCATACCACTTATGGCTCTGGAGTAGCTGGGATTATAGATATATGTCACCACACCCAGCCTTGTGTTAGCTTTTCATCCCTGTGACCTGAGAAAATTAGTTTTAAGGAGAAAGATTTACTTTGGTTCATGGTTTCAATCTGTGGTCAACTGGCTCCATGTTGGTGGGTCTGTGGTGAGGCAATGTATATTGTGTAAGGGCATGTTGCAAAGCATAGATGCTCACCTCATAGCAGCTAGGAAGCAGAGAGAGAGGAGGGGGTGGGAGCAAAGTATACTTTTTAAGAGCTTCCCCCCCATTGAAGCTCCACCTCCTACTTTCTACCATCTCCCAATAGTGCCATCAAATTATGAATCCATCAGTGTATTAATCCATTGATTAGGTCATAGCTCTCATGATCAAGTCCCACATTAGAGGGGACATTTATGCAAACTGCAACACCATTTGTGAATGACAGCTTTTTTCTGGTGTGTTTTCAGACTCTGTATATTTTTAAAAGAATTTTTATCACTTGAGGTATAAATTACATATAACCACATAATAAATAGATTCTTCAGTGTAAAGTTTGATTAGTTTTTATAAATACTCACATTCATGTAATCTATAACCTATGTGCCCTTTCCTGGTCATTCTTCCCTGTCTGAAATAATTGTTGACCTGAACTGTTACCTTAGAATTAGTTTTGCCTATTTATAATTTTAGTCAGTAGAATTATACAGTATGAATTAATTTGGCCAAGTTTTCTTTTTATCAGCATATAATGTTGGATATTTTATTCCTGCTTGCTTTTATATTTCTCTATCTTTGCATGTCTTAAAGAGAATAATTAAATCAAGCATAGTTCCCAGCTTAAGGTAAATGTGTGAAAAATATTGAATTAAAGTGACTGAAATTAAGTTACAAAAATGTGTTTTGAATGTGTCAAAGTCAAGCAAAACTAAAAGAAATTAACCCCTAGCATAGGAAATTTTTGTTTCGAAATGAAGAATGAAATTGCAATCCAAAACATACAAGCACAGGCAGGGTTGGCCTCTGATATGACCAGAGAGTAAAGGAAAAGTGTGGGTAGTTTTATTAGGAAGGAGACATCTACACAAGCTATTTTAAAAGAAAATTCATTGGTACTGGCAAGCTCTGCTTGGTAAATGGCAGCAGTTACTATGTAAAGGTAATCTTGAGGTCATAGTTGATAGTTGTTAATTAAAAATAGTCTTAAAGATACAACAAGCTGTTTTGTTGGATTAATTCTGCGAAATAGTTTCTGGAGCAAGTGTCCATGACCTTAGTTTCCCTTTCTTTCTGTGACCCCTCAATTCTATTTTTGTGTTGTATGACAGGAATGACTCCCAATTTATATAATAAATTTTCAGAGGATTACTAAAGTTTAATTAAATTTATAAATTATTTGAAGTATTTTTTTTCTTGTTCTTTTTCCTCTTACTCACTAGGCTCTCAGAGAATAGGGTTTCCAGGGAAACTTTGCATGTTATGTTTATAAAATTTTATACTGTAAAGACAGAGAAAGTAACTTTTGTGGCAAGAAGAAAATATGAGATCCCACATAGAAATTCTTTAACTTTAGAAATCTTTAAAATTGTTACAACCTCTTAAATGGTGTGATAGTTTATGCTGTTGAATTAAAGTCGGTTTTATTTTTCTTCCTTACCAAACTTGGCTAAAGAGTTTTCATGAATTCTTTTTTTTTTTTTTTTTGGTTTTTTGAGACTGCTTCTTGCTGTATATAGCTCAAACTAGCCTCCAACTTACAGTCTTCCTGCCTCAGTCTCCCTAGTGCAGGTGATCACAGATGTAAGCTACCACACCCAGCTCTCCATGCTCATCTTGTTAGGATTTGTTCTATCCTTAAACAAAAATTTAGATTGTGCTAAAAACACCTTAGGTAAATCATTCTATAATCACTTATTTTAAGACTTGTCTTTCAATTTTTTTGAGGTTGTAAGCTGAAATAAATGTTTGATGTAAATTTTGACAAACAGGTACCACTTAATGGACAAGTATATGAACTCTTAACTGTCTTCATGGATTGGATATCAGAACATCACCTTAGCAAAGTGAAAAATGAAGAATCTGGTATGGATGGTGAAAAACCAGCCCTGAGATCTTCTCAGAGAAATGATATTCAAGAGAAGTGTGTAAAGGTTTGGTTTATTTTTTAATTTGAGATATATGATTCAGTAGATATTAAGTAAGCAAAAGCCTCTCTCATGTTTTTGTAAGTGAAAAGATGAGAAAATACTGTGGTTTTTTTGTTTTTTGTTTTTTTGATAAGGGTTTTGTTATTTAGCCCACTGGCTTTGAACTCATGATCCTACTGTCTCAGACTTCCCAGTGCTGGGACTATAGGTGAGCAGTACCATGATAGAAAATTGACCATACTGATAGTTCTAAAAAGATTCATTTCTGCCTCCTATTAATTTGTGGGGTTTTGTTTTGTTTTGGCAATGCTTGGGATTAAACCCTTCATGCATGCTAGGCAGGTGCTTTACTATTGGCCTATATATCCAGACTCTTTTTTTTTTTTTTTAGTGGGACTGGGATTTGAACTCATGGCTTTGTGCTTGCAAAGCAGGCACTGTACCGCTTGAGCCATACCTCCAGTCCTGTGCTTTTCTTAATATGATAGGAAGTTGTCTTTTTAATGGTAGAGATAAGAGATTAATCATGTACTTCAGAAATGCTGAAATAATTGTATGCTAGAGTTATAAATATTCAGTGATGTGAATAATTGTTTCCACATAAAATTTTCCAATTCAAAACCTTTTGGAATAATTTTATTTTATTTTTTGGTAAAAAAGGGTAAAGAGTATTTTCAAGGGGCTTCTCAATATCAAAGAAAAATGACTTCTTAAATTACTTTTAATTAGCTGGAGTTATGACTTAAGTTACAGAGTTCCTGCTTAGCAACTGCAAGGCCCTGAGTCATTCCTCAGTACCACCAAAAAAAAAATTAAAATTGAAGTGAAAAAAAAAAGGGTTCTTTAGAGGTTGACAGTTATATTCCACAAGAAGCACATGAAAACTTTGACGATAGTAAAATTTTTTGTTTGTTTTCACATATTTTAGGAATAATTTAATGAGGATTAAATGCAGGCCAGAGTTTTGACTATAATATTTCCAATTTTCATCCTGTCTGAGAAGTTTCTTCTAAGTATCTTTTATGCTAGGTAATGGTCCTAGAAATGTTCCTCTTAATCTTGAAACCTGTCAATATTTTATGGTACATGGCCAAAGGGAAGATTTTTAAAATAGAGAGGTTATCCAGGATTTTCTGGGTGGGCCAGTAACCACCTGAGTCTTCAACAAGTAAGAAGAGTAAGTCAGAGACTCAACCCATAATTGCTGGTTATTGAAAATGGACCCATCATTGTTGGTGTTGAAAAGAGCAATAGGTGGCTCCTAGAAACTGGAGCCCTTAGCTCTTAATCAGCAAAGCTATGGGGATCTCAGTCCTGGAAACACAAGGAACTAAGTTCTGCCAGCAACCTGAGTAAGCATGGAAATGGATTCTCCTCTAGTCTCCAGAAAGGAACACAGACTTATAGACATTGATTTTGACTAGCTGAGACCCACATCAGATTCCTGGCTTACAGAACTATAGTATAATAAATATGTGGTTTAAATATTGAGTTTGTGGTACTTTATTATGTCAGTAATGGGAGATAAATAATCTTTGGTTAGAACTTACAGCAACTACTATTCCTCTGTCCAGATCTAGCTTTAATCTTAGAGTAGCTATTAATTAGGCAGGGCTGCAGTATTGAAGTTCTGTGAGTTATTTAATTTTGTAGAACTACTTGATAAAGACACAGTCCTAAGACAGTAAGGGTGACAATTGTAATTTGAAAAAATGGAATCTGGATCATGTGAGACTGTCTTTTTACATCAGCTTAATGGCATAAAAGTATAATATTTGCCACATGCATGGTATAGGATTTATTTTATCACCTTTCAATATAGATAATCTTGTATTGACTGAATTATAATTTGTAATGTTGCTGAGCCTAGGATTCTTTCAATTGAAATGCTGTTTTCGAGCTTACTACATATTAATAAAAGAACTATCTTAAAGTTTAAGAATAGTGAACTGGAGGTGTAGTTCAAGTGGTGAGCACCTGCTTTGCAAGCATGAAGCCTTGAGTTCAAACCCAGTTCACGCAAAAAAAAAAAAAATATTTTGGGATGGAGCTTAGTGGTAGAGAGTCTGCCTAACATGTACAGGGTCCTGGGTTTGGTCCCCAGCACCCACAAAAAAAAAAGTTTAAGAATAGTGTTACTAGAATAGAGAAGAGTAAATATCAGCTAATTAGTGAAAAATTGAATATTTGTGGTCAACCTGAGCAAGTATTCACATCTGTTCTTTAGAAAGATGTACAATTTGTAATTTTTAAAATAACTTTAAAAAAAAAAAACTTTTCCCTTTGTATTAAGAGCATTAAACTATAAACCACTTTGTATGTACTATATCTATTCAAATTACTTCAAAAGTAATTTTGCAAAATAATTAGAAATTACCTTTGGAACTTTCTGGCACATTTTGTTATACATTTTATCACAGTCACGACCTACTATCACTTAAGGGTGTTTTAATATTTAAACACACACACACAAAAAACCTATTAGGGACTAAATTTGGTATAGTAGATACATGGTTAGACTTGGTATACCTCATAAAACTGATTTTCTCATGTGATTCAAAAGTAAATGTATGAGGTGTTTTTAAAAGAACTTGAGAGAAAAGCAAGTGTAGTATAAGAGATCATGTTGAACAGTAATTTGTGACATACTAAGGGTATAAAATTCTGGGTGTAAAACTACTTATGGTAGTTTAGGCAAATTGGAAATCCAGGCCCTTGCAGTCCCCTGCAAACACCAAGTTGACCACAATATACAGACTAGGACATTTTGGAAGCTGCAGCCTTAGGACTAAGCATAACAGCGAAGGGACTCCATTAAAAGAGGTAGAAAAATTTGTGGAAATTTGGATATCTGTGCCATTCCAAGGTAGTACAGTGAAACCAGAAGGAAGGCACTACTCCTGCTCCCCTGCCTTTTTTTGTGTATGGAACAAAAGAATGACTATGCGTTCAATGCTTTGGCTTGTCTGGAGGCTGCCGCCCCAGACTGCTTTGTAGTCTTACCTTGCCTCAAAGTGCTGAAGGAAATGTGGTGGCATAGTTTAGAAGCTACACAAACAGGGAGCTCTACAACTGTTAGAGGCTTCAGGGGATTTGCAGTTCTATGAGGAAGAGGTCATGAGATTACGGAATTCTGAGGAATTTGGGGAACTCAAGAACATATGGGGTCAGGTGTTGGTCGGTGGATGACTATAGATCCCAGTTACTCGAGAGCAGCGATAAAAGGATTGTAGTTTAAAGCCAACTTAAGGAAAAATAGTAATACCCTATCTCAAAAAAATAGTGGGGTTGTGGTGGGGTACACTTGTGGTTTCTAAGTTACTCAGCGGCAGAGATAGGAGATGTGGTCACAGCTCTAGGACAAAAGTAATGAGACCCTATCTGAAACAAGCTAAAAAAAATAGGTTGGGTGTGTGGCTTAAGTGGTAGAGTGCTTACCTAGCAAGCACAAGAATTGATTCAAAACCTAGTTTCTGTCATAAAAAAGAAAAACAAACAAAAAGATAGTATTTCACATAGGCCTAGAGAAGACACAGTTAGCTGAGTTAATTGGAAGATGTCCATCCTGTATTACCTAATATTTCCCATCATCTGGGAAAGTGGTTTTTTTTTTTTTTTTTTAATTTCATTTTTTCTTTTCTTGGGCAGCCCTTGTGGTTTGAACTCAGGATTCACACTTGCTAGGCAGGCACTCTTACTGCTTTCAGCGACTCTGCCACCCTAAGTGGTTGTTTTTCAAATGCCCAAATAGAGAGAGGGAGGGACAATCACAAGCCGTAAAAAGAAACAGGGGCATTGGTCCAATAAAATGACAAAACAAAAGTTTGTTAGATATTAAAACGTAAAAAAAGCGCAGATCTCTGAACTCTGACAAATAACTTAAAAAGTGTCTTAAACATACCTAGCAGACTTCAAAGACATCACAGACAACTGTATAAAATCAGGAAAATGATACATGAGCAAAGTGAGCATCAACAAAAAGAAGTTGTAAGAAAGGAGCAGAAGAGTACAGTAATCCTGATCTAAAAATTCAACA